CGGTGACCTTGCAAGTCGGTGACCTTGCAAGTCGGTGACCTGGCAAGTCGGTGACCTTGCAAGTCGGTGCCGACTTCCAGGTCGACGTGCCACATCGCCGACCACCAGTTGAAGTCGGCCGCCGGCTTCCCAAGTCGGCGGCATTGCAGTGGCGCCGTGCAAGTCGACCAACCCCGTCGACCAGCTCGTCCAAGTCGGCGTCCCCACTGCTGCAAGTCGGCTGTACCTTCCGTACACCCCACCACAAAGTCGGCTCCGCCCAAGCGTGGACGGGGCCAACACACAACTCCCGTTGACATAGGAGAGCCCAATGTCAGGTGTGGAGATGAAGGACTGCAGGGCGCATTCCAGGTCCAGTTGGTTCTCAACTACTGGCTTGCGAGAATACTGTGCCAGTTGGCTAGCGATGTACGAAAGGTCGAGTCGGCAGGTGACAGAGGCGAACAGAAGGCAACCCAGTTGTTGCTGGTACAGTTGAAGTCATGCGGGTGACTGTGGTTTGTTGTCTGGTTTGTAGTTGGTGCTGGGGCTGCGGTAGGGAGTTGAGAGTGGTGCGGGAGAGATGTTGAAGCGTTCCTTCAGCTGCTCTGCGTAATTGGAGGCTGACAAGTGAATTGCATCTGGCGCGTAAGTGATGTTTAACCCCAAAAACTGCTTCACTTCCGAATTGATGGTGATGTCCACGCGCTGCGCCAGATTTTCGTGAAACTGGTCCAAGAGTTTGTTGTAGGTGCCCGTGTACAGCAGGTCATCGACGTAGACTGTCACGAGGATGTAGTCGCCGCTGAAGTGGAGACGATACATTCCCGGGTCGTGTGGGAGCTTTTTGAAGCCGATTTCGAGGAGGATTTTGTGCAGGTGCTGCTGCCAGAGGCGAGGTGCCTGCTTGATCCCGTAGAGGGACTTCTTCAGTTGACAGACCCTGGGATCACCTTCCCCGTAGGTGTGCGGCTGCTCCACAAAGATAGTGGCGTCCACCAACGCGTACAAGAACACGTTCTTTACGTCGATCTGTCGCAGTGGCAGGTGCTTTGCGGCGGCAATGGCGAGTAGAATCCGGACTGAGGTGTGGCGGCTGACGGGAGCGAAGGTTTGGTCGAAGTCGATGCCATGACACTGATCGTACCCGCGTACGACCCAGCGTGCCTTGAAACGCTCGATAGTGCCGTCACCGTTGTTTCAGGCGAAAAACCCACTTCCCGCTGAGCACCCTCCTCCCCTTCACTGCTGCACGATCGACTAGGACCCAGGTGTCACGCGATTCCAGCGCCTTCAGTTCCGCATCCATCGCAGCACGCCACTCTTTGGCGTGAGGACCGGTTAGGGCCTGGCGAGGATTCTTTGGCTCCATGGCCCGTGTAAGAGTAGAGACGGATGTGTGCAGGCCTAGAAGTTGAAGGCCTGACACATTGGTGGTGTCTGTGTTGGAGGGGACTTCCACCACGTCGTCGTCTCCGCTCTCATAGCCGGGTGCTGCGGTGCTTGGCTCTGCTTGGCGTCGTGATGGTCCTGGTGCGGAGTCGTCATCGCTGTTATCGTCGTCGTCGCGCGGGCGAGGTGGGATGCTGGGATGGTCGTCGGTGTCATCACGGTCCAGTACTGCTGCTGCTGCTGCGTCTTCTGGAGTCGCGAAGCTGCGGCCGCTGTTGACATAGCCGCGTGCCTGGTTTCGGCGCTCATCCTCGATCCACTGCTTCAGGGTGAGTCGTTTGTAGAAGAGAATGTCACGCGCGGGAACGATCTCCTTGCTATCCATGTCAAGAATGAGCCAGCCTTTGTGCTTGTGACTGAGCCCCAAGTGAACTCCCCAGCGCGCACGATGAACGAACTTGCCGATTGTTGCCGAGGTCGGCCGGTATTGCACCATGCACCCCCAAACCCTCAGCATGGAGGGGTCTCCCCTTGAGCCGGTCCACTTCATGTGAGGGGACAGGTTATCCTTGTTGGCGGTGGTGGAGAGGAGGTTGTGCAGGCGTACCGCGTGGTTCATGGCGTACGGCCAGAACTTCTTTGGCAGGCCGGACTAACGGGGCGCTATAGTGCTCCTGGCGGAAAAACCTTTGCTCGGAGGCAGTTGGCAAGTGTTTGGCGCGAGGGGTGGCCCATCCGCTGGTGCCAGAGATCGTCCTCGGCGCGAAGGCCGGAGGTACGCTTGTGGCGGGTGTGATGCTCTGCTGCCTCCTCCGCCGTGAGTTCCGGGATCTGGAGTGGAGGTTCTTCCTCTTCTTCTCCTGGTTCTGCTTCGTTGTCCAGCTCCTCTACTTCTGCTTCTGCCATTGCCTCCCCTTCTGCAGGTGCCGTTGTGAGGTAGAGCGCAAGAAATTCGCGGTCGGGGATGATCGTGAGCGGGGTCGTGGTGCCTTCGATGAAGCGAGCAAACGGATCTGGGCGGGAGATTGGACCAAGAGAGTCCCAAGGCAGAGTTGGTGGTACATTCCCCTCCTCAATCTCCGACCAGGGATCGCTCCAGCGATGAGGTGAGCGAGGTGGTTCACGAGTGCGCGGGGGTCGTCCGAGAGGAATGACAATGCGGGGTGGTGCTTCTCCGCGTTCTGCTTGCATCTCTCGTTCAGCTTCCTCCAATTCTTCTTGCGTCAGCTCCCCTTCCTCAGGCTCTGTTGTTCCCCATCCCCCGGTTGTGATCGCGCCGCTGGCGCTGGCTCCCCATGCTCCAGTGGCGGATGCCCAGGTTGTACCGCCTTCTTGATTGTCATCAACGTCGCCCCATCCTCCGTGTCGTGCTGACTCTTCGTCCCATCCCGCCGCGATGCGCTCCTCATACAGCTTTTGCTTCTTTTCCGCCCGAGCCTTATCCTGTTCTTCCTTAACACTCAGCTCCTCTGGTGCATCAGGATCTTTTCAAGCAGGATCGATGTGGCGGCGGTAAACTTTGCGGGTATATGGGCGCTCACGTCCTTCCTCGTCTTTGGTTGTGGTGGTGGCCTCCAGAACGAATTGAAGATTGTCCGAATAGGGCGTTGCCCTTTTCGTTCATTCTAGCTCGTAGGCCTTGTCTGCTTCACCGAAGACGCGGTAAGATGCAACGGCAAGTTCTTCTCTGGTCATGCCGGTAGGTTCCGCCTCGGCGCTTTCTGCTTCTTGAATTGCCGCTTGCTCTCTTTCAACTTGCTCCGTGCGACTCGCGGTGGGCGTGTGGGCGTGTGGCAGGTTGTGCAGAGACCGTTGACGTCCAGTTCGTGCAAGTTGATCTCGCGGGGGTGAGGGCTGCGGCGGATCCACGGTCGTCCGTCTGGATGCTCCCATGACTTCTGATTCATGAAGGCGAACTCGAGGGGGACAAGGTCCACAAGTTCATCCGACGATGCTTGACAGGAAGGTATGTCAAAGTCCAGGATGTAGATCCCGTTGATTGAGCGAGCTCGACCGAGGTATTTGAATGACTCGGGAGGTGTGTCTGGGGGAGCGTAGGTAAGGATGAGGTCGCGCGTGGTAAGATCCGTGTGAATGATGACGCCACAGTCGCGGAGCTGTCCAGCCGAGAGCAGATTGAAGCGGAGATTCGGGATGTAGAGCAAGTCGTTGAACGAGATGTGGGTGTTGCTATCTCGTGCTTGCAGGACGACAAGGCCCTGTGAGTTGGCGCGCAACTGCTCGTTGTTGGCGACGGTGACGTAGATTGCGGGGGCGCGATGTCAGAACATTATAGCTTATGCATATTGTGTAGGCTATAGTGGGGTAGCCCATAAGGGGTACAACCCAATTAGGGTTAGTACTTGTACCCAACTCTTTCATAGTTCATTCATTCTCGTTCTAACTTTCTCATGGTATTGAGCAAGTTCCCTCGTGGGAACTGTGCCTAGGGCCCACCACATCGAAAGTTTTTTTTTTCCTGCCCGGAGCGCGCTCCCCGAGTCGCGCTCCCCTCTCGGCCTTCGTCGAGCCGCCCTAGTGGCCGCGTCGCGTCGCCCCTAACGGCCTCCCTGGCGCCGCCCTTACTCGGCCCGTCGCCGCCCTTCACGGCTCGTCGCCAACCTCAGCGGCCCGTTGCCGCCCTTACTTGCGGCCCCGCCGCCCTCACTTGCGGCCCCGCCGCCCTCAGTTGCGGCCCCGTCGCCGCCCTCAATTGCGGCCCCGTCGCCGCCCTTAGTTGCGGCCCCGTCGCCGCCCTCAGTTGCGGCCCGTCGCCGCCCTCACCTGCGGCCCCGCCGCCCTCACTTGCGGCCCCGCCGCCCTCACTTGCGGCCCCGCCGCCCTCAGTTGTGGCCCCGCCGCCGCCCTCAGTTGCGGCCCGTCGCCGCCCTCACCTGCGGCCCCGCCGCCCTCACTTGCGGCCCCGCCGCCCTCAGTTGCGGCCCCGTCGCCGTCCTCAGTTGTGGCCCCGTCGCCTCCCTCAGTTGCGGCCCCGTCGCCTCCCTCAGTTGCGACCCCGTCGCCTCCCTCGGTTGCGGCCCCGTCGCCGCCCTCACCTGCGACCCCGCCGCCCTCACTTGCGGCCCCGCCGCCCTCAGTTGCGGCCCCGTCGCCCTCACTTGCGGCCCTGCCGCCCTCAGTTGCGGCCCCGCCGCCCTCACTTGCGGCCCCGCCACCCTCACTTGCGGCCCCGTCGCCCTCACCTGCGGCCCCGCCGCCCTCCCTTGCGGCCCCGTCAACTGCTGCAGCGCCGCCCGCCACCCAAGCCGCCCGAGCCGCCTCACCCAGCCGAGCCGCCGACCACCGCTCCGCCCTGCAGCAGCACTACCGAGCCGCCCAGCAGCAGAGCAGCCGAGCCGCCCTGCAGCCGAGCCGCCCAGCCGCCCACCAGCCGAGCCTGCGTGCAGCCGAGCCGCCCAGCAGTAGAGCTGCCGAGCCGCCCAGCACCCGAGCCGCCGGGCCGCCGAGCCGCCCTACCCCCGAGCCGCCCTACCACCCAGCAGCCGAGCCGCCGAGCCGCCGAGCCGTCCTACCGCCGAGCCGCCCGAGCAGCCCTGTCCGGTGAGCACAACACCTCTCTCACTGCACTCCCCTTTCCCTACTGCTTGCACTGCTGGTCTACTGTTGTCATGGCTACCCCCAGTGTCCTCGCTTTTGACGCTGAGGGTCGAGCCATTGACTTTGACGTCTGGGTCGCCGGCCTGCAGCTGTTCTTACAGTGCGATAGGGTAGACGGTCTCTCTCTCTTTGACCTCACCTCTGGCGCCTCTCCTACCCCTGCTGATGATGCTGACGCCACTGTTCGCTCCCAGTGGGCCACGCGCAACGCTGCTGCACGTCTTGCTGTGCGTCGCAACCTGCCTACCACTGAGCGCGCGCACTTTAGTCAGTACAAGAGTGCTCAGACCTTGTACGACGCTGTAGTTGCGCGCTACTCTTCCCCTGCCACTGCTGCACTGAGCCGCCTCATGCTACCGTACCTCTTCCCTGACCTTGCTGCCTTTCCCACAGTCGCTGACCTCATTACGTACCTCCGCACTAGTGACACTCGCTACCGCGCTGCACTTCCTGCTGACTTCTGCGCCAAGAACCCCCCCCCCATGTACATCACTCTCTACTACTTAGTCAGTCGCCTCCCTGACTCCCTTCGCGTAGTCAGGGACCACTTCCTCTCAGTCTGTCCCACCACTCTCACTGTTGACCTCCTTGAGAAGTCCCTCCTAGCGGCCGAGAAGAGCATAGTCGCTATAGGGGCCTCTCGTGGTGACCCGCGCACCCCCATCTTTGAGGGGTGTTCCCCCTCCCCGCTCCTGCCCTTTGTTGCCTCTGTTGCTGCGGCCGACCTCCTTGGTCTTGAGTCGGTCGGTGCGGCGTCTGCCCCTAGCGGGAGACGCCGCTCTGGCAAGGGCAAGGGGGGCAGGGGCACTAGAGGAGCGAGAGGGGGCGGTGGAGGTGGAGGTGGAGGCGGCGGGGGGAGTGGGGGTGGCGGTGGGAGTGGAGGTGGGGGTGGAGGTGTCGGTGGCGGCAGTGGAGGCGGAGGCGGCGGCGGCGGTGGCGGTGGTAGCGGAGGTGGCGGAGGTGGTGGCAGTGGAGGAGGCGGAGGAGGCGGCGGTAGTAGCGGAGGCGGCGGAGGCAGCGGAGGCGGCGGGGGTGGCGGTGGAGCTGGTCGCGGGTCTACGCAGCGGAGTGGCTCCGGTGGTGGTCTGCGCCAGCAGCAGCAGCGCAGTCGTGAGACCTTGTCCCCTCAGCAGCTCCTTGAGTGGTACACTGCACGCCAGCGGGGTGGGGGCTTTGATCCGTGCACCTACGTCCTGCGCACCGGCGACCATGCGGGTGAGCAGTGTGGGGGTGCGCACCCCACCCAGCGCTGCTTTGGCCGCCTGACGGACGCGTGGCGTCACCAATTCCCCGAGGCCACAGAGATCCCTCGCCGGGGCGAGCTGTCAAGGGCGAGAGTTGCCATCTATGATCTTGATTTTGATGCTATCCTTTCTGCCATGTTTGCTGTGTCTATTAGTGATGAGGGTGACTGTTACCGGTGTTTCCCGCCCGACCCGGGCATTGAGACTGCTGCTCTAGGTACTGGTGAGGCTGCTGCTCTAGGTGCCAGTGAGGCTGTTGCTCTAGGTGCCAGTGCATTTGCGTCCTCAGGTGCTGGTGAGTCTGCGCTTGCAGGTACTGCGTCGGCTTCGGCCTCCCTCACCTTCACACTTGACTCCCGGGCTTCTCGCTCCTTCTTTCGAGACCGCACCTAACTCTCGCCGCTTGGTCGACCGTTTGCAGTCTCTCTGGCAGACCCCTCTGGGGGTCCAATCCTTTCTCACTTCTCCACTGTCCTCCCATGTCCGGCGGCCCCCTCTGGCACCTTGTCTGGTCTTTACCTCCCCTCGTTCTGAACGAACTTGGTGAGTGGTGCTGACCTACAGGATGCGGGGGTTCACCAGTTTACTCCTGCGAGTCAGCGGGTGACCCACTGCTCGGACGCTCGCACAGGCCGGCACCTGGCCACGTTTACGCGTCGGCCGGGGTCGAGCCTGTACACCCTGACCACTGAGTCTCCTCCTGTCCCTGCGTCTAGTCAGCTAGCTGCGTCGGGTCAGGTGTTTGCTGCAGTGTCCAGGTCTGGTCCTGAGTCTGCCCCCTGCTCGTGTCGCCTCCTGTCTCACGAGACTCTCCTTTGGCACCACCGCCTTGGTCACCCCTCCCTGCCTCGTCTCCGAGGCATGGCCTCTCGTGTCCTTGTCTCTGGTCTTCCCCGGTCCCTCCCTCCCCTTCCTCCGGGGCGTGGCCCCACCTGCGTCCCCTGTGTCGAGGGGCGGCTGCGGGCTGCCCCTCACTCCTCTCAGTTTCCCCCGACAAAGGCCCCGCTGCAGACGCTTCACATGGACGTGTGGGGCCCGGCCCGCGTCCGTGGACAGGGTCAAGAGCGCTACTTCCTGCTGGTGGTTGACGACTACTCGCGTTACACCACAGTCTTCCCCCTGCGCAGCAAGGGTGATGTCAGTAAGGTGTTGATCCACTGGATCCGCGCAGCTCGTCTCCAGCTCAGGAGGAGCTTCGGCTCGGACTTTCCTGTTCTGCGTCTGCACTCTGACCGAGGCGGAAGTTCTCCTCTGGCCTTCTGCGAGCCTACTGTCGTGCACTTGGCATCCGCCAGACCTTTACGCTTCCGGACTCTCCACAACAAAATGGGATTGCTGAGCGCCGCATTGGCATGGTCATGGACGTCGCCCGTACGTCCATGATCCATGCGGCTGCCCCCCAGTTTCTGTGGCCGTTTGCGGTTCGGTACGTGGCGCATCAGATCAACCTTCACCCCAGGGTCTCCATGCCGGAGACCTCCCCAGCTTTGCTGTGGACGGGGAAGGTTGGCGATGCGTCTTCGTTCCATGTCTGGGGATCTCGGGCGTTTGTCCGCGACTTGTCCGCGGACAAGCTGTCCCCTCGTGCTGCTCCTTGCGTCTTCCTTGGCTTCCCCCCTGACGCGCCAGGGTGGCAGTTCTACCACCCCACCTCTCGTCGTGTTCTGTCCTCCCAGGACGTCACGTTTGACGATTCGGTCCCCTACTACCGCCTCTTCCCCTACCGCACTCCTTCTCTCCCCCTGCCACCGCTCTTCCTTGTGCCAGGTCCCCCCCCGGTAGACCCCCTCCCCCCTCAGGGTCCTACCCCTTCACGTGTGTCCCAGGTAGACACGTTCGAGCCTGTCGAGGTTACTGGTGACTCTGGTGCTGCTGCGGGTGCTGAGCCTGGGGGTGCTGCGACTGGGGGTGCTGAGCGTGTGGGTGCTATGCCTGGGGGTGCTGAGCTTGCGGGTGCTACGACTGGGGGTGCTGAGCCTGGGGGTGCTGAGTCTGGGGGTGCTTGGGGTGCTACGCCTGGGGGTGCTGAGCGTGGAGGTGCTGAGCCTGGGAGTGCTACGCCTGGAGGTGCTGAGCCAGGGGGTGCGGAGCCTGAGGGAGCTGGGCCTGCTGGTGCTGTGCCTGGCGGTTCTCCGGGTGCTTCGTCTCGCCGGGAGCCACTCTCTCCACAGGAGCTGCATGAGTGGTTTGCCCAGCGCTGGAGGCGAGCTGCTGGAGCTGGAGGTGCTGCGGGTACTGGAGGCTCTGTTGCTACTAAGGGAGCTGGTGCCACGGGTCCCGGAGGTGCTCGTACTGAGAGTACCGGATCTGCTGGGCCTGCGGGTACTTCTGGAGCTGGAGCTGCGGCGGGTGTTGGCGCGGAGGCTACTGCTGTAGGGCCTGGAGGCGGTCCTGCTGGGGGTACTACTGGTGCTACTGGAGGTACTGGAGCTGGAGCTGCTACTGGTGCTGCTGGAGGTACAGGAGCTGGAGCTGCTACTGGTGCTGGTGCTGCCACTGGGGGTGCTGGTGCTGTCCCTGCTGTGTCTGGAGTCGCGGCGCGGCCTCGGCCGTACTTCGTTCCGCTTCTTCAGCTGGTTCTTGGTCTCCCGTCTTCTACTGGTCCTCCTCCTCCCTTAGAGTGTCCACAGCCTGTCCCGTCACAGTTGCAGTTATCGCCGGCCTCCCCACTACCTGCTCCCTCTCCCTACACTGGTCCTACTGGAGGTCTTTCTGAGCGTCGTGAGCCTGTGTCTCGCCCTGTGTCGCCTGTCCGTGCTGCTCGCACTAGTGGTCGCGGTTCGCGTCAACGTCCTCCTCCTGTCCCTGGCACGCACCGGATGTCTCTGCGTCCGTCCATTGCTCCTCTGCGTGCCCCTTTGCCTTCTCCTCCTGAGTCTTCTCTTCCTGCTCTTGCCGACCCGGAATCGGACTCTCTTCATGCTGCCAGTCCTACTGTCAGGCGTCTCCTTGCTATTGTCGTCATTGACCCTTCTTTTGAGTCCACTGCTGCGTCTGCCCTAGTTGCTGAGCTCGCCGTTTTTGCTGCTCGCTGTCGTCTAGACTACGCTGCTAGTCTTGTCACTGAGTCTGATTCTGTCTGTCCTCCGTCCATCGGGGGTGAGTGTGCTCTTGGCACGGACGTCCTTGAGGATAGGCAGGATGAGTTCCAGTGTCTGGCTGCTGCTTCACCTCATCTCGTGTCCGTACTGCTCACCCCTGAGGGAGACCCGGATGCACTTGACATCCCGACTCCGCGCTCTTACACGGAGGCCGTAGAGGGTCCTTACTCCTCTCACTGGAAGGCAGCTATGGATGAAGAGATGGCTTCATGGAAGTCCACAGGCACCTACGTTGACGCGGTTCCTCCACCTGGGGCGAACATCGTCAGTGGCATGTGGATCTTCAGGGTGAAGCGGCCGCCAGGTTCTCCACCTGTCTTTAACGCGTGGTATGTGGCTCGTGGCTTCTGTCAGCGGCAGGGAGTTGACTACTTTTAGACCTTCTCTCCCACCCTGAAGATGACCACTCTTCGGGTGCTGCTGCACATAGCCGCTCAGCGCAACTACGAGCTTCACTCTCTTGACTTCAGCACTGCTTTCTTGCAGGGTAGCCTGCACGAGGAGATCTGGCTGCGCCGTCCACCTGGCTTCACTGGGACTTTTCGTTTTGGCACCCAGTGGAGCCTCCGGCGGCCAGTCTACGGTCTCCGCCAGGCACCACGTGAGTGGCACGACACATTGAGGACTACACTTGCGGCTCTTGGGTTTGCTCCCTCTATTGCCGACCCTTCACTATTTCTGCGCACCGACACCTCTTTGCCGCCGTTCTACATCCTCGTGTACGTCGACGACTTGGTCTTTGCCACTGCTGACACTGCTGGACTCGCCCACGTGAAGTCCGAGCTGCAGAAGAGACATACGTGCACAAACCTCGGTGAACTGCGCAGCTACCTTGGCTTGCAGATCACCCGGGACAGAGCACGCCGCACCATTACCCTGACTCAGTCACACATGGTGCAGCAGGTCCTTCAGCGCTTCGGCTTCACGTACTCCTCGCCTCAGGCCACTCCTCTACCTACTCGCCACTCGCTCTCAGCTCTGCCTTCGGATGAGTCCGTAGAGTCGAGTGGCCCGTACCCAGAGCTTGTTGGCTGCCTCATGTACCTGATGACCTGCACACCACCTGACCTCGCATACCCTCTTAGCATTCTCGCACGCTATGTTGCTCCTGGGAGACACAGACCGGAGCACATGGCTGCAGCGAAGAGGGTGTTGCGCTACTTGTGCAGTACGCCGGGCATGGGGCTTGTGCTTGGAGGGCAGAGTCCAGTGGTCCTCACTGGGCACGCAGACGCTTCTTGGGCTAACGACCCGGCTATGCAGCGGTCGTCATAGGGTTATACCTTCAGCCTTGGTTCCGGCTCTGTTTCGTGGCGGGCTACTTGCTCGTTTTCTGTTCTCGACTCTAGTTGAGAGGCTGAGATCTACGCAGGAGCCATGGCTGCTCAGGAGCTTTGCTGGCTCACCTACCTGCTGACTGACCTCGGAGAGCCGCCTCGTTCTCCTCCAGTGTTGTACGTAGACAACAAGGCCATGCTGGCCTTGTGTCGGGAGCAGAGACTAGAGCACAGAACGAAGCATATTGCTCTCCGCTACTTTCTTGCTCGTGAGCTGCAGCAGCGTGGTCAGCTGCGTCTTGCGTACGTGGCCTCTGAGGCCAACACTGCTGATATCTTCACCAAGGCACTTGCGCCTTGTGACCATCAGCGCTTCTGTACTCAGCTGGGCCTTGTGCTTGTCTTGCCTCACTTGCTCACCTCTTGACCTTGCTTGTACTGTTACATATACATATACACCTGCTCTTGCTTGTCTAGCCTTATATATATATGTACTCCTGCATGTGAACTGGCCTTGTGGCCTTGAACTTGTGCTCGGAATGTGTGGTGACTTTGTGATCCACCCTGAGCTTGCTTTGCTTTGCTTTGCTTGACTGGTCTTGTGACCCCTTGTTCTCCCCCACTTTGCCTATGGGGGTGTGTGAGAACATTTTAGCTTATGCATATTGTGTAGGCTATAGTGGGGTAGCTCATAAGGGGTACAACCCAATTAGGGTTAGTACTTGTACCCAACTCTTTCATAGTTCATTCATTCTCGTTCTAACTTTCTCACCCGACTCAGGTTGGAGACGTATCACGTGGATCCCACCATGTGCTGTCCGCAGCAGCTATCCAGGTACCAGGTGTTGTAGTTGTCGGTGTTGTTTCGTCGCAGTAATAGCGCCAATTGCGGAGTTACCAGGGTGGCCTTGTAGCGCCTGTGGAAGGAAGGGTCTTCGTCCTCCTTCGAACCCACTAGTACGTAGTGTTGATTGTTGTGTGGCGGGCTTTCCCGAAATGTGATTGGTTGATTCCAATCCTGCTCGTCCTCGTCATACAGATAATAGTGGTCTTCAGTGAGTGGATTATTCCACCCCTCTTCTGGTTCCAAAAGTCTTCCTTGCACCTCGTTCTCCTCATCAGGTTCAGTGGTGTGGCGGCGTCGCGTCGCCATGTGCGCGATGACGTTCCTAGGAGCTCCTGACTGAGGTCCTTGATTTTGTTGGTGTTGATGCTGTGCAGGGGAACAAACTTGTTGATGCTGAGGTTGAGTATGACGAGCATCTTGTCGGCCGACCCAGTTGTTATGGTGAGTGGAATTTGGTGGCGGAAGTTGGATCGGGACTTGCATCGATCCGTTGAATGTCCGAAGACTTTGCATATTTTGCAATAACGGCGCCTTGGTTGTCGTCGTTCTTCTCGGTTGTCTGTGTAGAAGTCGAGGCGCTCTCGGCGCAGCGCGGAGCTTGTTCTGCTCGAGTCCATGTCATGCTGTTCGGACAGAAGTGCGGTGCATAGCGCGGCTTCGGAGATGATTCCTCGCAGTCGGAGTAGCGCTTTACAGGGCTTCCACTCTGGCCCGGGTCCTTGAAGGACTATATTAACGAATATCTCTTCTGAGATCGTACTCCCATGCTTCGTGATTTGGTCACGAATGTTGCGACAGCGGTTAATGTAAGGATTTGCCTTCTCCCCGTGCCCCATTTTTATCTCCAGGAGTTGCTGCAGAAGCCTGCTGGCGATGACCGAGTCCTTCGGCTGATAAACCTCAACGAGGTGCTTCCAAGCTTCCATGGCTGGAGCGTCGCTCTCTTTGTAGGAGCGAATGTTGAGTTGTTCCGCAGGCGTCATGTTTCGTAGCAGCACACTGTAGGCCATGAGGGACTCGCTGTAGTACTGAGCCCTGGCGACGTCGGTGTTTTCCACCGGTTTAGGGTAGGAGCCGTCGAAGTAATGGTAGATCTGCGCTGTTTGTAGAAGGAGCTCAAGCTCGAAACTCCATGTGTAAAAATCCTTGCCGTCAAACGCGGCAGTGGTCTTGATTTTTGAGACGCTAAGAAAGCGTGCTTGCGCAGAGTTGATAGCTTCATCACTTGGACGGGGGGCAGTTGTTGTTGATTTGTCTGTGTCGAGGGAGAAGGTATGCGCGGCGGTATCACGGCTTTTCTCAGCCGGTTGTCTAGGTTGTGCTGGTTGGGAAGAGGTTCCCGCATCGCCTTTGCGCAGGTCTTGGAGTTCTTTCTCCATCAGTTGAAAGTCGGGCGAAGAGTTGCTCGAGAGCGGCAGTGCCGATCGTGGTTGTCGCCTCATTTGTCGCAGCCGGGTTGGATTGTCCTTCAGCCGTTAGATTTGCTTGGCCTCCGGATCCTCCGGCCATCTTGGTCTTGGAGGGTGTGCCGCTCGCCAAATCTTGGTTCGGCGATTTTCGCGGAAGTGAAGTTGCGAAGAATCCCTGAGTTGCTCTCATACCATGTTACAATCCCAAGTGGGACTTAGCAAAGGATCGCTCAGGGTTGATCGCAGAGTAGTGTTTGCAGTGGAAGATTTGAATCTCAGGTCAGAGTGAATGTAAATGACTGAGTTGATAATAGCATGCATACATCGAGTTTATACAAGAGTACAGAGGAATACGAAAAGACCTAGACTAGCCATGTACTCTAAGGGGTACATTCCCTTATTACAGCAAATTCAAACCGTGCGGCGCGGGAACCCGTTTTGAACCTGTTCCCGCTCTTTTCATTTCAAATGTTTTCTGCCTGCATCGGTCTTGGTCTGACGGTTGCTACGTTGCTTCGACTCTTCTGACTCCTCGACTTCGTACTCGGTAGAGTCGGCTCCTGCAGCATACAGGAATGCCTTACTCATAAATCTTCATATCGTAACATTTTGTATGCACATGAACCCACTGAGATCAAGGTGTCTTGTGCTGGGTAGGTTGACAAGTTGGATGTTTCTTCCTTTACCACTCCGATTACAGTTTTTCGCATTCTATTCTGAACTTCATCGCTTGCAACGAATTGCCGATCGGATCCAACACGTCACGTTCTTATCGCGTACAGCTGCTTGTACCAAATTTATGATGCGCCACTCCCTCCGATAATCCCAACACATCATCGCTGCAAGGCATGGAGTCCGAACCAAGTCAGCACCAAAGCGTGAGCGTCAACCTAGTAAAAGCAGCATGCCGAGATTCCAGGTAGCAGACTGGCCCAGAGCAGCAGCCAGTTTTGTTTCCCTGGAGCAGACTGGCTTAGTGGTTCCTTGCTTACGGGTTATAGTAGTATTTTCAAGCTGGTTTTGGATGGTTTACTTTTTTTTTAGTTGCGCAGAATTCATTGGCTAGCAGGCGTTTGGTTGCGAGATGCCATTAGAACCACTGCCATTCGACGGGTGCTAGGTTCAGTATAACAGAGTTGATTGTCTCATGATCACGACGGGTACTAGGTTGTGCCTTAGGAAGACAGCAGTTAGGTACTGGATATTTACGTGAAAGGCATTCACGAGAGAGAAAGCCGATCAGAGAGGTGAGGAGTCGTCCGCTGAGAGATAAGACGCTATGGATTCGGGGAGAGCTGATGTCAGCATGGGGTTTGTGGAGGCGGAGGATTTCGGGCAGCACGTGGACTTGACGCAGCGGATTCGCGAAGTGCTCGCGAATTACCCCGAGGGTACCACGATTCTCAAGGAGCTGATTCAGAACGCCGACGACGCTGGCGCTTCCAAGGTTCGTTAGGATCCGAGTCATCTCTCTTTGAAAAAGCCAGATGGTTGATTCCTGATTCAATCTCGAGGGTTCCACGACTCTCAAGGAGCTGATCTGATTCAGAACGCCGACGATGCTGGCGCTTCCAAGGTTCGTTATGATTTCGTTGACGCCAGAACAATTCTGAGGTATTATGCTGATGGGTTAAATTAGATGCTTAAAGAGATTGACGGGCGGACTTAACCAGATGCCTGATGGCGTTGACCTACTTGACCAGATGCCTGATGGCGTTGACCTACTTGATTAGATGCCTGATGGCGTTGACCGACTTGACCAGATGCCTGATGGCGTTGACCGACTTGACCAGATGCCTGATGGCGTTGACCGACTTGACCAGATGCCTGATGGCGTTGACTGACTTGACCAGATGCCTGATGATGCCTCCTCTGCCCTGCACTCTTCACCCAATCCATCCCCAATCCAACAGGTCTCCTTTCTGCCTGGACCATCGCACGCACGGCTCGGGATCGTCTCGTCTACGCGCCCCTCGCCCAGTTCCAGGGCGCTGCGCTGCTCGTTTCAGATGAGGATTTGGCTTGATGCGCCTTCATCCCTCTCGCATCCGCTCCGCACTCCACTCCCCAGTTCTCCAATCTCCCCAATTCCCAATAACCCCGATTCCCCAACTTCCGCCTCCAGGTGTCCTTCTGTCTGGACCATCCCACGCATGGATCGGCATCGCTCGCCTACGCGCCCCTCGCCCAGTGCCAGGGCCCTGCGCTGCTCGTGCACAACGACGCTGTCTTCTCGGATGAGGACTTTCCCTGATGCTCCTCAAGCATCCTCTCATCCCCTCTCCACTCCCCAATCCTCTATCTCCCAATTCCTTGATCCCCGATTCCCCCCAATCCATGGTACTCTAAACACCAATCCTCGTATCCCCAATCCCCGGTGTCTGACCGCCTCCAGGTGTCCTTCTGTCTGGACCATCGCACTCACGGCACGGCGTCGCTCGCCTCCACGCCTCTCGCCCAGTTCCAGGGCGCTGCGCTGCTCGTGCACAACGACGCTGTTTTTTCGGATGAGGATTTTGCAAGCATCTCACGGGTGGGAGACAGCGGCAAGCGCAAGCAGTCCTGGAAGACGGGCCGATTCGGGTGAGCGGGTTTCCATCCATAACATGTATCAAGTGTGACAAATGCGCTGCTGCTCGTGCACAACGCCGCCCGCCGCCTTCTCAGACGAGGACAGTGCGAGCATATCATCAAGAGTCGAGTCGGGGACAGCAGCAAGCGCAAGCAGTCCTGGAAGACGGGCCGTTTTGGGTGGGTTGGTGTCTATGACAACTATTCAGCGTGCCACATGCACTGCTGCTCTTGCACAACGATGCCGCCTTTCTAGATGAGGACTTTGCGAGGATCTCGCAGGGTGGGGGACAGCGGCAAACGCAAACAGGCTCGTTGGCTCGGGTGGGTAGGCTTATAATCAGGTAAAAAATGACGTTTCACGTTTGCTGCTGGTGCAAATTTCATTCATGCTGCTTCAGTGTGGCCTCTCACCCTCATTTCATCCCCGTGGAGTGGAGTGAAACTATATCACATCCTCATCTCACACACCTCCCTTGTCTCATCCCCTCTTCTTTTTTTCCAACTTCCCTTTCTGCGTTCCACTGCCTTCCTTCATTTTCCTCCCCACCCCACCCTTTTCCCTCCCCTCCCCTTCTGTCCCGTCCTCCACTCCCTCCCTCACTTCTCCCCAACTCAGTCTATTATCTCACGGACACAGACCTCCCTTCCTTCATCAGCCGTCAGTTTGTCACCTTCCCTCCCTCTCTCGTCCCACTTCCCATTGTTCCCCCTTCCTCTTCACCCCCCTCCCCACCCCTCATCCCTTCCCCCTCACAGCATCGGATTCAACTCAGTCTATCATCTCACGGACCTCCCCTCTTTTGTCAGCCGTCAGTTCGTCACTTTCTTCGACCCGCACTGCGCCTACCTGCCCCGTGTCTCCGCAGCCAATCCGGGCAAGAGAATAGATTTCGTCGCTGCCCGAGCGGTGATGGCAGCGCAGCGGGACCAGTTCTCCCCGTACTGTGCATTCGGGTGCGACATGCAGAGGCCGTTTGCGGGGACGCTGTTCCGGTTTCCGCTGCGGACGGAGGAGCAGGCGGGGAAGAGCAAGCTGTCACGGCAGGCGTACAATGCAGCTGACATGGCGGCTCTGTTGAGGGAGTTTGAGGTGCGTTTGTGTGTGTGTGTGTGAGTGTGTGTGTGTGTGTGTGTGTGTGCGTGCGTGCGTGCGTGCGTGCGTGCGTGTGATTAGTGGCAATTCTTTGCTCTGCTGGATAGGTAGATGATTTTTGGGTGCGACATAGGGACGCTGTTTCAGTTCCCGCTCGCGGGAGGGACGGAGGAGGAGGCGCTCGCGGGTGAGCAAGCTGTCAAGGCAGGCGTACGATGCCGCGAGGTGACTTTTGAGTCGATTCAAGAGTCACCTAGCAGGCGTTCGCGGGTGAGACGTCTCAAAGGAAGCTGTCAAGGCAGGCGTACGATGCCGCTAACATGGCTGCTCTGTTGAGGGTGTTCTTAATGCTTTCTTTCTTCCCTTCTCCTCCATACTCACGTTTAGGGATGAGCAAGGTGGCGAACACCTGTTGGGTTCGCCTCGAACACGTTCGAGGCGAACCGAACAGGCTTTGTTTTTTAGCTCAAATCGTTCGCCGAACAGTGTTCGATGTTCGCCCGAACACGTTCGTGTTCGGGCCGCTGCTGAAATTTGCCCGCGACGAACACGAACAGTGTTCGAGGTTCGCCCGAACACGCCTCCACAGGCGAACAGCGAACACCTGTTTTTTCCTAAACTGTTCGCCGAACCGAACAGTGTTCGGTTCGGCAAAAGAGGGTGTTCGACAAGGGGCGAAGACGAACATGTTCGTGTTCGCCCTTTGCTCATCCCTACTCACGTTCCCTGTCTTCCCAAGCCGATCACTGCTCTTCCTCAAGCACGTGGAGCGAGTGGACGTGTTGGAGTGGCATCAGGGAGCGTTTCGAGAACCCTGTTTCTTCCCTTCCTCCCGGTGCTCACCCCCCCGTCTTTCCAGGCTGAAGCAGTCTCCTCTTTGCTCTTCCTCAAGCACGTGGAGCGAGTGGACGTGTTGGAGTGGCATCAGGGCGCCACCGCCCCCGCACCTCTCTTCTCCTGCCGCATCTCCTCCCCCGACTCCCCCCTCCGCTTCCACCGCCAAGCCTTCTCCCGCCTCGCGCGCCCTGCTGCTGCTTCTGGTGCTACTGCTGGTGCTGCAGCGCCTGGGGCGTCAGGGGCTGGAGGGGGGGCAGGGTCAGGGGTGATTTTCAGTGAGAAGGACAGCACGGATTTTTATGAGATTGGGTTCGTTTGCGAGTCGTTTTCCCCGGGAAGTGCCCCTGAAACTGCTGGAGGGACTAAGGAGGCGGCTGGGGTGGGTGAGAAGGGGGGAGGGAGGAGGGAGGAGCGGTACTTTGTGTCTCAGAGGATGGGAGGGGCGTTGGGTGCGGTGGGGCGCATGGCAAGGCGAGCAGCGGAGGAGTATGATATTCACCTGGTGCCGTGGGCGTCTGTGGCTGCTAGAGTGGGCTGTGAAGGAGACACACCAGACGCACCGGACGCCTCTTTCCAGGTGAGATTGAAAATGGCATGGCGAAGCGAAAAGCAGCGGAGTATGATATTCGCCTGGTGCCGTTGGCGTCTGTGGCTAGGAGTGTGAGGGGGGCGTCTGTGGCTAGGAGTGTGAGGGGGGCACTGACGCACCAGATGCACCCGAGGCTCATTTCCAGTCCAGGTGAATGTCCGCTCGTTTTCTCTTCCGACCTCCGTTCCTTGCTTTCCGCCCGTCGTTCCCCACCTCCGTGCTTGTCCTTCGTTCTTCAGAGCCGCCCATCTGCGTCCTGCCTCTCCCAGTGCGTTCCAATCCAACCTTGCAATGCACATCAACAGCCGCGCTGCTCTCTTGTTCAGCATCCTATTTCCCCCTTGTTCCGCTCTCCCTGGTAACCTCCCCAGTCAATTGAATCCCAGGGCCGGGCCTTCTGCTTCCGCCTCTCCCAGTGCGCCCCAACCTCCCAGTGCATACCAACGACCACTTTCAGTTCTCCTCCAGCGTTCTTACCCATCGCCACCTCCCCATTCCCCCCCGCTCTGCCCTCTGTCTGTCTATCACCATCCCCATGCCAGGGCCGGGCCTTCTGCTTCCTGCCTCTCCCAGTGCGCCCCAACCTCCCAGTGCACATCAACGGCTACTTTGAGCTCTCCTCCAATCGCCGAGATATTTGGTTTGGCGAGGATATGGACAGAGCAGGCCGCCTTCGCTCCCAGTGGAACGCCGCCCTGCTGCAGCTCGTTGCCGCCCCGGCGTACCTTGATCTGATTCTCGAAGCCGCCCAGCGAATCGGGCCGCGAGCGGAGTATTTTGGACTGTTTCCCGCGGGCCCCACCTCGGAGCCCTGGCTTGGGATGGTCGGGCAGCTGTACAAAAGTTTCGCAAAGCTGCCCGTTTTGTATCCCAGAGGCCCTCAGGAGTTGCTAGCTGGGGTTGGGGCAGCTGGAGCTGGTGCTGTTACTGGTTTGACTGGTCCTGCTGCCGGTGCTGCTGCTGCGGGTGGTGGTGCTGGTGGTATTGCTGGTTTAATGGTGAGGGTGGGAGGAGGATCAAAGGGCGAAGCAGCTTATAAAGGGGACGGAAGCTGGGTGTCTCCTGCCACTGCTGTGTTCAGCGATGAGGAATTCCGCGATCCAGATGGCTTGGAGCTAGCTCTGGTTCGGGAGGGCCTGCCGATCGTCCGCGTCTCGCCGAACCTCCGGGAGATGCTCTTCCGGTGGTCCGTTTCCGAGCCTAGAATCACCATTCCTAGCGTGGTTCGGGCAAGGTTGAAAACGCCAGGTGTCCACAGGGGATTGGAGAACAGAGAGGACGCGTTACTGCTGTTAGAGTATTGTTTAGGGGATGTGGTAGATGATGAAGCTGCAGAGGAGCTGGATGGGCTTTTGCTGGTTCCTCTGGCGAATCAGAGCCTGGGGAGGTTTGAGAGAGTGGGGGTAGTTGGGAGAGAAATAGTTGTAGCTGCGTGGGAGAGAGGAGGGGAGGGGGAGAGAGGAGGAGGAGGAGGAGGAGGAGGAGGAGGAGGAGGAGGAGGAGGAGGAGGAGGAGGAGGAGGAGGAGGAGGAGGAGGAGGAGGAGGTGGAGGAGGAGGAGGAGAGGGAGGGGAGAGGTGGAAGGGGAGGAGGAGTGTGGAGTATGAGTTACTAAAGGACAGGGCGGGAGGGAGAGTAGTGGACCTAATGGGTGTGAGGGAGGATGTGTATGAGCGTCTGAGGAACATCGCACTCTCTCCCTCTGCAGGCAATCTCTCCCCACTCACTCCCTCACTCCTCCTTCGCCTGCTCCAGTCCCTGCTTCCCCCCGACTGGTTCGGACAGGACGAGGTTCCCTGGTTCGGCAGCGTCTCCGAACCTGCTGGTTCGGGGAAGCGCGCACTTTCAGCGGCTGTGGCGCCGCCGTCTGTCCGATGGGTCGGGCTTCTTTGGCAGTATCTGGCTGCCAGCTGTAAGGATTTGACCGCGTTTTCCGGTTGGCCGCTGCTGCCGACGAAACAGAAGACACTGTGTGCGCTGGAGAAGGGACGGTCTAGGGTGATTTTGGTTGAGGAGGAGGAGGGGGTGGAGGGGGTGGAGGGGGAGGGGAAGGAGAGAAAGGACGAGGGCGAGGGGAAGGAACGGGTTTTGTCGGCAGGTGGCGGTTTTCATGCAATTTCGGGGTTGCTGGTGAGGCTGGGCTGCCGTATTCTCTGGAGGAAACTCCCTTCTGGTGTGGCGGAGGTGGGGCATGTGGGCGAGGGTGGGGATGTGCAGGGGGAAGCTGTGAATGGGGAGGCTCTGCAGGTGGCGCATCCGCATCTGCACGAGTTTGTGCGGCCAGCCACAGGGGCAGGTGTGTTGGACGCTCTGCAGTCAGCAGCAGACTGGCATGGAGTGCCCTTTGCCATGCTCTTCCAGATGGCTGAGACCGCTCTTGATAAAGGTTCTCCTTCTGCTGCTGCTCCTCCTGGTGCTGCTGGTGCCCGTGGTGGTGGTGCTGCTGGTGTGGCTGCCCCAGCTGGTAGGACAGCTTCGGGTGGCTTGCTGTCCGAGGCTGCAGTCGAGGCTCGGCGGCAGCTTCGGGAGTTCCTGTGCTCGCCGCAGTGGTACGCTGGGAATGCAATGACGGAGGCTCGGCGCGTGCGGATCTTCAAGTCTCTGCCCATCTTCGAGGTCTACAGCAACCACCCTTCCACCCCCCCCACCAGTAGCAGCAACAGCAACAGCACCAACACCACAACTACCAGCACCATCAGCAGCAGTAGCAGTGGAAGCACCACGGGCACCAACCCGACCGCCATCCATGCCTCCCTCCCTCTCTTTGTCGACCTGTCATCCCCATCCATTCAGCGCTATCTGGCACCCTCAGGGGTGGAACCAGCCCTGCTAGGCGAGTCCTTCCTTTGCCCCTCAGACGACCGCGAGGCTGCAGTGCTCTCCCGCGCCCTCGCCATCCCCACGCTCCCCCGCCCGGCGTTTTTCAAGATGCAGGTGCTCGCTAGGGTCCAAACGCTGCCGCCCGGGCTGCGAAACAGGACGATGCTTGCCGTGCTGCAGGAGCTGCCGCAGCTGTGCACTGCGGATCCGGGGTTGCGGGATGTGGTGGCGAATCTGGCGTTTGTGCCAGCGTGGGATGGGAAAGGGGATGGGCGACAGCAGCACAAGGTGCAGCAGCAGGAGGAGGTGGAGGGAGGGGAAGTAGCAGGCGCATCAGCAGTAGGAGCAGCAGGAGGGCCAGGTGCGGCAGGTGCACCTGAGATGGATTCAGATGTAGGAAATGAGACGCTTTGCCGCCCAGTGGATCTCTATGATTCTCGCAACCCCGAGCTCTGCCACCTGCTTCAAGGAATGGCTGGCAACTGGTTCCCCGCCGCCCCGTTTTCGTCCTCTTCTGCCCTTGAGATGCTACTCAGCGTGGGGCTCCGCAGTGCGGTTACCACCGAAACCATTCTCAGCTGTGCTCGCGCTGTGGAGAGCATTGCCGCTACAGATGCGGCTGTAGCGCGGGTGCGCGGACGGGTTCTTTTGTCCTATCTGGACGTGAACGCGGCAAGATGGGTGCCTGTGGCGCAGGGGGGAAGCGCAGGGGCAGGGGGGGTAGGGGGGAGAAGAGGCATGGGGGGCGGAGGCGGGGGAGGGGGAGGAGGGGGAGGGGCAGGAGGGGGTATGTTTGCACGTGTATCGAGCCTGTTCCAGAGCAGTGAAGCAGCGGAGGAGGCTCAGCGCGCAGCAGCTGAAATGGCCTCGTTTTGGAACGAGCTGACCTCGATCTCCTGGTGCCCTGTGCTCGTTCCCTCCCCTGCCCCGCCCTTCCTGCCTTGGCCAAGGGGAGGGGAGGCAAATGCAAGTAGCGAGGAAGAAAACGTATCAGGCGGGACAGGAGGTAAAGGGAGGGGAAGAGAGAGGGCAGACGAGTCTCGGCCTAGCCCCGTCGCTCCTCCTCGCATCGTCCGCCCACAGATCGACACCTGGCTTGCGTCAGCCAGCCTCCGGATCCTGGACGGCGAGTGCCGCTCCACGCTGATGTGGCACCAGCTAGGATGGGCGCGGCCGCTGACGGGGAGTGTGCTGGCGGCGCAGCTGCTGGAGCTGGGGCGCGTGTGTGGCGCGGAGGTGGCGGATAGGGGCGCGGGGAAGGCCCTGGCGGGGGCAGTGCCGAGGATATACACGATGCTGTCGGACATGCTGGGGCAGGAGGAGATGGAGGTGGTCAAGGCGATTCTTGAGGTGAGTGCTTCGCAGGGCAAGGTTTCCAGGAGGTGGGTGGGTCTGTCAGAGTACGGGCCGATCTCCATGGTGCTGCTCGTTAGATATGCTGGGGCAGGAGGAGATGAAGGTGGTAAAAGCCGTAAAAGCCGTGATCCTTGAGGTGAGGATTTCTCAAGAAAAAGCCTATAGTTATCTCTTTCTATTCTTGAATGCAAGGAAGACTTCTGCCCGTTCCCTAGCTGCTGCGTGGATATGCTGGGACCTGGGTCAGCGCAGGAGGAGGAGATGAAGGTGGTGAGAGCCTTCTGTAGGTGATCCATTCGGTGGTGTCCATTCTCCAAGGACATCTTAACGAGAAAAGGGTGCACCTGAATTCTCCACCAACTTGCTTCTCTCCCTTTCCCTCTTTTTCCATTGCCTTTGCTCCCACCCCCCTCGTTCCCTGCTTACCTCTCATCATGCGATCCCAACCTTGCTGTCTTCCGAGACCTCCTGCTCGCCTGGGCGTGCACCGCTTAGGGGGAATGACCTGCTCACCTGGGCGTGCACCGTGTAGGGGGAATGACCTGCTCGCCTGGGCGTGCACCGCTTAGGGGGAATGACCTGCTCGCCTGGGCGTGCACCGCGTAGGGGGAATGACCTGCTCGCCTGGGCGTGCACCGCGTAGGGGGAATGACCTGCTCGCCTGGGCGTGCACCGCGTAGGGGGAATGACCTGCTCGCCTGGGCGTGCACCGCGTAGGGGGAATGACCTGCTCGCCTGGGCGTGCACCGCGTAGGGGGAATGACCTGCTCGCCTGGGCGTGCACCGCGTAGGGGGAATGACCTGCTCGCCTGGGGGTTGAGGATCCCTCACAGGCTCTTACAAAACAATCCAACCTGCTTTTTCCCCCATGTTTCTCTTCTTCCCCTGCCAACCCTCCAGGGCTGCAGGTGGGTGTGGGTGGGAGACGGTTTCTGCTCCACCACAGAATGCGCCTTCTCCGGTCCTATCCACCCACCTCTCGCCCCACCTCCGCATCATCCCGGCCAACTTCCGCCTTTCGAGGCCTCCTGCTCGCCCTGAGGGTGCACAGCTTTTGGGGGGAATGAGAATCCCTCACAGGCTCAGAGAAAATAATTGAGCCTGATTATTCCTCTGTGTCCCTCTTCTCCCCCTGCCCCCCCAACCCCAGGGCTGCAGGTGGGTGTGGGTGGGAGACGGTTTCTGCTCGACCACAGAGTGCGCCTTCTCCGGTCCCATCCACCTCGCCCCCTACCTGCGCATCATCCCCGCCGACCTTGCCGCCTTCCGAGACCTCCTGCTCGCCCTGGGGGTCCGCGAGTGCCTCTCGGGGAATGAGTACGCCGCTGTGCTTGCGAGCATCGCTAAAGACGCGCAAGGCCGCCCGCTCGCGCCGCGCCAGCTGGCGGCTGCTGTCTGGCTGGTGCAGCATCTGGCGGATCTGCAGTTTGATTCCGGGGCGGCGGGCGGGGGAGGCGGGGTAGGAGCGGGCGGAGTGGGGGGTGGGGGAGGGGGAGGAGAAGGAGTGGGGGTTGTTGCGAGGGGAGGAGGGGGAGGGAGAGGAGGAGGCATGGTGTATGTGCCAGACGCACAGGGAATTCTAGTGCATGCCTGTGAGCTTGTGTATAACGATGCTCCCTGGTTACCCCAGTTCATGCGCTCGACTCCCCACTCTCCTCCCTCCTCTCCTTCCGCCGCTCCTTCCGACGCTCCCTCCCCTCCCACTTCCACTCCCTCCTCTCACCATGCCTCTGCGGCAAACCCAGGCTTCCCAAGCAGCCACGCAGGCTCGGCGGCACCGCCCGAACCTACCCTCCAGGTTCGGTTCGTCCACGCCAAGATCTCCAACGACGTGGCAGACAGGCTCGGCGTCCGATCCTTGCGTCGCCAGCTCCTATTGGACAGCGGAGCAGCATCCATGGCTCTCTCCCTCCACGCCTCTGCCTCCTCCCTCTTCTCCCCCACATCCCTAGCTGCTTCTACCGGGGCTGCTTCTAACGGGGATGGGGTGGAGGCGTTCGGGCAGCACGAGGCTCTGACTACTCGTTTGAAGCACATAGTGGAGATGTATCCGGAGGGGCCGGGGGTGCTCTGTGAGTTGGTGCAAAATGCGGATGACGCCGGCGCGAGGGAAGCGGCGTTTCTTCTGGATCACTCCCGATTCGGCGCTTCTTCAGTGCTCAGCCCGCGAATGGCTGACTGGCAGGGGCCGTCTCTGTATGCTTACAACGATGCTGTGTTCTCGGATCGCGATTTGATTGCGATCTCGCGCATCGGGCAGGATAGCAAGCTGGAGAAGCCGAGTGCTATTGGTCGGTTCGGGCTCGGTTTCAACTCAGTCTACCATTTCACCGACGTCCCGGGGTTTGTTTCCGGGCAGAATCTGGTGATTTTTGACCCGCACGCATCGAACCTGCCCGGAATCACGCCCTCCCACCCGGGCCTGAAGATCAGCTTCGTCGGCCGCGGCCTCCCGGACCAGTTCCCGGACCAGTTCCGCCCGTTCCTCCTGTTCGGGTGCGACCTGCAGTCCCCGTACCACGGCACTCTGTTCCGTTTTCCGCTTCGGTCCGAAGCTGCGGCGAGTCGGAGCGAGATCAAGCACGAGCCGTGCTCTCCAGAGGACATCCGGCATCTGTTTAAATCCTTCCAGCGCTCGGCGACAGAAGCGCTGCTGTTTCTGAGAAACGTGGGACGGATTTCGGTTTTCGAGAGGATAGATGCCGGGAGTGAGCCGAAGCTGCTGTTTTGTGCACAGAGAGTAGTTGCTGGTGAGGGGGGGGCGTCAGGAATGCCTTTTGTTTCAGCACTTCCGTCGCCAGGAATGGGTCTGAGGGCCCTGGGGGATTCGGCTGATGGGGGCAGTTTGCAGCGAGCTATTTTCGATTTTGTTCGGGGCAGCCCGCAAAATCCTCTGAATAAGGACCAGTTTTACCACAAGCTGCAGCGGGCAGCTGAAGGGCAGCTGCCGAGGCAATGCGGGCGGATCTCGATTTTAGTGACTGATGGGACGGGACACGTGGCGGCTTCTGATTGGCTCGTGTCGAATGCGCTGGGCGGGGGGCGGGCGAGGGAGTGGGCTGTTGCAGTGGAGAACCGTCCGAGAGGGTTCTTGCCATGGGCCGGCGTTGCTTGTCTTATTCAGTGGGAAGAGGAGGGGAACACCGGGCTGTTGAATCTGATGGGAGTGGGGGAAGAATCAGAGGAAAGCAGAGAAGGGAAAGAGGAGGGTGGTAACCCACAAGAAGAGAAGCGCGGATCAGGTGGGCTAGGAGGCAGCTCCGAGGATACAGGTAAGGAAAGAACGAGGCTGCAAGGAAGGGCCTTTTGCTTCCTGCCCCTGCCCGTGAAAACGAACCTCCCGGTGCACGTCAACGGCTACTTTGAGCTCTCCTCCAATCGCCGAGACATCTGGTTCGGCGACGACCTGGCAGGTGCGGGCAAGGTTCGGTCCGAGTGGAACCGGCGGCTCCTGGAGGACGTGGCAGCTCCGGCGTACGCTCGGATGCTTGCCGAAGCTACCAAGCAGCTTGGGCACGGGCCTGCGTACCATGCTCTCTGGCCTGGGGCAGGCGCAGGCTCGGGGTTGCGTTCGGGCGTGGATTCTGGCTCGGGTGCGGCTCGGAGGCAGGTTCGGGGAGAGCTGGTGGAGCCTTGGGAATCGCTGGCGAATCGGGTGTATGTGTGTGTGACTGAGCTCGATCTGGGTGTTATCTGGACAGGGGCAGCTGGGGGGAGGTGGATTTCTCCAAAACGGGCAGTTTTTGCAGACACAGGCTACCCAAAAATGGAAGATCTCACAAATATTCTGGTCCGCGCAGGCCTTCCTTTGGCAGATGCTCCGTACCCAGTGGTGGAAAGATTTCGCTCGGCCTGCCCGCAGCTCAGGTTCCTGACTCCAGCGCTCCTCAGAAAGACTCTGATTGGCTCGGGCAGGCAGATTCTTTCGAGCTGCCCGGACGTGGGCCTGGCACTGAACTACTGCCTGAGTGACGTGGACGTGGAAGAAGCTGCTGAGAAGCTTCCAGGCCTCCCACTCATTCCTCTGGCCAATGGTACTGTAGGCGCGTTTTCCAGGATTGACAGTGGCAGCAGCAGCGGCGGCGGCAGCAGGAGGGGTGGGTTGATGAGTGGTGGTGTGATGGGTGGGCGTTGGAGCGCTGGGATGATGAAACAGTGGGACTCACGAGCCAAGGCCACAGCCAGCAGCAGCAGGGGGGCCTTTGGAACAGCAGGCAGTGGCAGCAGCGGGGGTGCCGGCAGCTTTGGGGGAGGAGGGGCGGTGAGGCTGATAGTGACTCGGAATGAGGCGGAGTTTTCGCTGCTGCTGCCCAGTGCCGCCCACCTACTGGTGCACCGACAGCTGGCAGCAGAGCAGGGCGAGGCATGGGGGAAGCTGCAGGCCATGGCCGGGTGGTGGGAGGAGGGCGAGGGGGACAGGGAGGGGGGTGGTGCGGGGGGAAATGCAGGTGGGGCTGGTGCTGAAGGGGGCATGGACGTTGGAGAGGTGCTAGGGTTTCTGAACGAGACTCAGCAGCAGCAGCAGCAGCAGAGGCGTAGGGAAAGGGCGAATGCAGGGGTGAATCTGGCGGTGGTGTCTGTGCCTGTGCTGGCTGAGCTCATGCCTCTGCTGCTGCCAGAGTCCTGGCGCGGTCAGGCGTTTGTTGCATGGCGTGGTGGTGCGGGCGAGGGGGAGAGATGGAGAGGGTCAAGGGGAGAGGGAGAAGGAGAGGGGGAGGGGGAGGGGGAGGGAGAGGGAGAGGGAGCAGGTGGGTTGCTGATTCAGGCAGACATGAGCGCTGCAGCAGCAGCAGGGGGAGCAGCAGGAGGAGGAGGAGGAGCAGCAGCAGCAGCAGCAGGAGGAGGAGGAGGAGGAGCACGAGGATTCGGTCCTGAAGTGGAAGGGATTGAGTTCTTGGAGTCCGAGGGACCGTCCCTGGAGTGGATTCAGCAGTTCTGGAGCTACCTCTCCTCCTCCGCCTCCGCCTCTCCCACTACCACCGATTCCCACATCCCCACCACCGCCATCACCACCTCCTCCTCGTCCTCCTCTCCCTCTCTTCCCTCTCCACCTCATGCCAGCCTGTCGCTCATCGCTGATTGGCCACTCGTCCCAACCACCAATGGGCAGCTGCGGCAGTTGCAGGCAGGGGGCCCGCTGCTGCGACCGGGGGGAGGGGACGGGTGGAGTGAGAACATGCTGTGTGTCTTTGCACGCGTGGGCGTGTATGTGGTGCGCAGCGATGTGAATCTGGATCACCCGGGCTTGAGGGAGTATCTTCACGAGGCCTCGGCTGCTGGGATTCTCGACGCCATTGCTGCTGCCGCCGCGAACCATGCTGCTGCTGCTGCGGCTTCTGCCGCCGCCTCTTCTGCTGCTGCAGCGAATAGACGAGCAGTGGGAGTAGGCCTGGCATCGTCAGATGTTAGAAGAGCAGGAGCAGGAGGAGGAGCAAGAGTAGGGGCGAGAGCAGGAGCAGGTTCATATGGGGTAGGTCTAGCTGTGTCAGTTGACCTTGCTGAGTCAGCAGCAGCCAACCCGTCAGCAGCCTCTGTTGCTGCAGCAGCAGCACTAGTGCCGCATCTAGATGCGCTCCTCTCGCTCTTCCAGGGAGCAACGGACGGGGAGAGGAGAGAGCTGCGCAGCATCTTGTGCCAGTCCAAGTGGTTCCCCCCGACAGATGGCCCTTCCGACTCATCTGCTGCTGCTGCTGCTGGTACGGTTGTTGCACATGCCTTTGGCCTGTCCAGAGGTCTCAAGCATGTTTCAGAACCTGCCCCGTCGCATCCAGGTGGCGTTCTCTCAGAGCGCCACATCAGCATGCTGCGAGCTCTGCCGATCTTCGAGTCTTACGGCACCTGGTCGGCCCCTGAAACCCGGTCAGATGCAGATAAGAAACAGCAAGGGGGTGGTGCTGGCCTCTCCGCTGGCCCCTCCGCTGGCCTCTCCACTGGTCTCTCCGCTGGGCGTGTGTTTGTGGATCTGCTCACAGCTCCCCGCTTCTTCGCCCCGCCATCCATCGACGAGTCGCTTCTCGACGCCTCATTCGTCCGCGTCGACTCCGACAAGGACCACCGAATCCTGCGCTGCCACCTGGCGGTCTCCCCGATCTCCCGCACTGCGTTCTACCTCAACCACCTCTTTCCTCGCATCCGTGCCGCTGCTGCCGCCGCCGCCACCACTGCTACTGCTGCTGCTGCTGCCACTGCCACTCCTGCTGCTGCTGGCGGTGGTGCCGCCGCCGCAGCAGCAAAGGCAACAGCAGCTGCAGCGGCAGCAAGGGGAGGGGTGAAGGGATCAGCGGTGGTGCCGTTGAGTGGAGAGGCGGGGGTGGCAGCGATGGTGGCAGTGGTGAGGGACCTGCCGCGGCTGGCAGAGGAGGACGAGCGGATAGTGAAGGAGCTCAGCAGGCTGCCGTTCCTGCCCACTCCCTCCGGCCTGCTCAAGGCGCCCTGCAGGTATGTTTGGTTCGAGTAGAGTAGAAGCACCAGAGTGAGTCAAAGAGGGATGCTGGAGAGGGGGTAAGATCATGCCCCGGTCGGGGGAGAGGTGGGCAGGGATCAGCAGGGACCTGCCGCGGGATCAGAGGAGGATGAGCGGGTGGTGAAGGAATTCAGCAGGCTGCCATTCCTGCCCACCCCCTCCAGCCTGCTCAAGGCGCCCTGCAGGTATGTTTGGTACGGGTGGAGACACCGGGGGGGTGAGTCAGACAGGAATGCTGGAAGGATAAGTTCACGCCCCAGTGGGGCTGGGGAAGGAGATCAGCAGGCTGGGCCCTTCTTGCCGCCACTGGGGCAACTCAAGAGGCTTGCCACCGTGCGGGTGAGCAGAGGGTCATGGTTGAGCCAAACCTTTCTCTCCGCTCCTTTCTTTCCTCTACTTTTTTTTCCTCCTCCCCCCCACCCACTCGTCCCCGCCCTCCCCTCTTTTTCCCCCTCCTCGCCCCACCCCACCCCTCTGCAGTCTCTACGACCCGCGGGTCGCTGATCTCACATCTCTCCTCCACGCTTCTCTCTTCTTCCCAGCACCGCCCTTCTCCTCCCCCGCCCTCCTCCCCACACTCCTCTCCCTCGGCCTCCGCACCACCATCGACCGCCGCGCACTGCTCGCCTCTGCCCGGTCTATCCAAGAGGCTTGCCGAGCAGGGGGCGAGGGACAGGGTGCAGCAGCAAGGCAGGGTGTGGCAGTAGGAAGGGGTGGTTCTGATTTTGATTGGTCAGCTAGTCATCGCGGTGAGATCTTGGCTCGAGCGCGTGCCTTGCTGGCACATCTGGATGCCCGCCAGGTGGCGGAAGATCAGTGGAGGAGCCTTGGCGGAGGGAGGGCAGGGGCCGAGGAGGAGCAGGAGGGTCAGGATGGGCTGGGAAGGAGGAGTGGTAGTGGTGGTGGTGGTGGGTTTGATGATGGGTTTCTGGAAGGTGGTGGTGATTGGTCGAGATTGGGTGCGCTGGGTGGCTTTGCCGCCCAGGGATTCAGTGGAGAGGATGGGTATGCGGCTGTGGTGGGGAGGCATAGGGGGAGCGAGGCAGAGTGGGGTGTGGGTGCTGGTGGTAGCATTGCTACTAGTACTGCCGGCAGCAGCAGCACCAGCAGCAGTGGCGGTGGTGGCAGGAGCAGTAGCAGCAGTGGCGGCCGCATTGGTGAAGTTGTGGAGGAGGATATTCCCGAGGATGCTTTTTGGGAGGAGCTGAAGGGGATCTCGTGGTGTCCTGTGCTGCAGAGACCACCGGATTCCGCCCTTGCTACTCCCGGCAGTGGCGGCGGTGGTGTTGTGGTCACTGGGTCTACCTCCAATGACCACAGCAGCACCACTGCCACTCGTGGTACCACTGGCAGCACCACCAACAGCAGAAGTACCGACAACAGGAACAGCAGCAGCAGCGGCAGCAGCAGCAACAGCAGAAGTACCGACAACAGGAACAGCAGCAGCGGTGCCATCCAGCCGCCCTGGAAAGGCAGTCCATCCGGGTTCATGCCGCCCTGCGCCGTCCGGCTGCAGGACGACGTGTGGGTGGTGGGCGGCAGCATGTGCATTCTGGGCGGCGAGGTGCGGTCGGACAGCCTGGCGCGCAAGCTGGGGTGGCGGGACCCCCCGCCTGTGGAGGCTCTGGTGTCTCAGTTGCTTGCTCTGGCTGCTTTGCATGGGTGTGCTGTGGCTGAGAGGAGGGGGCGGGAGGAGAGAGGGGATAGGAGCGGGGAGAGGAGGAGGGAGAAGCGAGGGGTGAGGAGAGGGGAGAGGAGGGGCGGGAGGAGTGAGGGTGAGATTGATGGGGAGAGGAGGGACGAACATGGAGAGGAAATGGAAGGAATAGGAGAGGGGAGAGAGGAGGGAGAGGAGGGTGAGGAGGAGCAGGAGGAGGAGAATGAGGAGGAAGAGGAGGATGAAGTGACAGTGCTGGAACGAATCTTATCAAAAGAAGTCCCGAGAATCTATGCGTATCTGGAACAGCACATGGGCTCTCCGTCCTTTTCTGCCGCCCGGACGTCCTTCCAATCAGTGGCCTGCATTTGGGTCGGCGACACATTCATCGCACCTTCCTCCCTCGCCTTTGACTCGCCCACCCACTTCCACCCCTACCTCCATGTCGTGCCGACAGAAGCCGCCCGCTTCCGCACCCTGCTGACGTCGCTAGGCGTCAGAGAGACATTCAAGGTGGGGGATTACGCCCAGGCGCTAGCCCACCTGAAAAGAGACCTGGAGTGGCGAGACCTGAGGCTTGGGGGAGGCTCGGGAGAGGTTCGGGGAGCTGGAGGAGCAAGAGGAGGTTCGGGGGGAGGGGGAGCAGGAGGAGGGGAAGGAGGGGGAGGCAGATCTGGGGCTTTATCTCCAGACCAGTTCTCGTTTGTGTTGAGGGTTTTGGAGGCTATAGTGGATGCCCTACCGCCAAGTGGCGAGCCGCCATTGGCCGGCACGGTCCTGGTACCTGAGGCTTCAGGAGGGCTGGTGGCGGCTCGGGAGCTGATTTTCAACGATGCTGCGTGGCTCGGTAAAGGTAGGCATGGGCGGTACATGAGGGTGGCACTTAAAAGTGAAGTTCGGTGGCACTTGGTTGAAGTATTGTGGCACTTACTTGAGGTATTGTGGCACTTAGTTGAGAGTTTTTTGGCACCTAGCTGAAAGTGGGGTGTCACTCTTCTGGCAGTGAATGGCACATTCAGCAAAAGATAGGTGGTTTTCCGCATTGTGTAAATGTCTGCTTTCCGCCGATTGTGTGTGTGGCCCAAGCAAACAGAAGGCGAGGCCGAACACTTTCCTCACACGTGTTTTGCCTTTTCTGTTCTAACAAACGCTCCCTCCTTGCAGCAACGGTGGACGGGCGGAGTCGCTTTGTGCATCCCGACGTGCCCCACGCCATAGCGGAGCGCCTTGGCTCGCGCTCCCTGCGAGGGCTGTCGCTGGACGGCCCCTCTGCTGCCACCTCGCTGCCTTGCCTCCCAGGTGAGTCTCGTGCTCCAACTCCTGCACAGCTGACGAATCGAGGTGGGTACTCTGTGCACAACACACACGTGCCTCACGCTGTAGCGGAGCGCCGCCTAGGCTCGCGGCAGGTGCTCTGTGCCCCACGCCCTGCCAGGTGAGTCTCGTGCTCCAACTCCTGCACAGCTGACGAATCGAGGTGCGCACCGTGTGCTCAAAACATGTGCCCCACGCCATAGCACCGTGGCGTGCCTTGTCTCGCCCTCCGTCCAGCACGCGTTGTTGCTGGACGGCCCTTCTGCCGCCACCTCGCTTCCGTGCCTGCCAGGTGGGTCTTGGTCTTGTGCCCCAGCGCCCATGCACCTAGTATCGCAATCAAGTCACGTCATTGCGCCTCCTCCTTCTCTCGAACCATCCTTATCGTTCAATAGAGTGAACAGTACGGCAGTGAACCGCTCTTGTCCTCTTTCTCTCCGTCCTTCTCTTCGCTTCTCTTCTTTACCTGCCTAACTTGTATTCTCTCTCCAACCTACCCCTCCAGCGGTGGTGATATCGGAGCTGCTAGAAGGCTGGGCAGCGGACGCGCACCTCCTCCTCTTTGATCTGCTGGAGGTGGCGGATGCATGTGGTGCCCGGGGAGTGGAGTTTGTGTGGGACCAGCGGCACCACCCGGAGATCTCCCTTCTGCAACCCAACCTGGGTAAGTGCTGATCAAGCAGGGAGTGTTTAGAAACGTGTCCAACCTAGGTCCGTGCCGGTTTTAGCAAGGGTGCCTTGTGTTTATGAAATCAGCTGCCTTATATTTATGAGATCAGCTGCCTTGTAGTTATGAGATCACCAGCACCACCCGGAGATCTTCCTGTTCCAGCCCAACCAACCCTGGGTGGGTGAGGATTGCATGCGTCAGACAATCTCTCTGTGCTCTTTCAGGGATCTCATTGTTGCTGCCCATTCTGGGTACTTGGGGATCCGGAATTCACGAGTTGAGGGAAGGCTGGCCCTGCCATTGGATGCGTGTGGTGTGGTGCCCACAGGGTGGTGCAGGTCAACTCCAGAGTGGTGCCCCTCACTCACCGTTCCCTTCCACGGAGCTCAGCTCACATCAGAACACATCTCCCACCCGTACATGCACGCCTCTCCTCGCCCACTCTTCCATTCCCTGCTCTCTTGCTCCGTCCCCTTCCATTCCCCCTCACCCACATCTGCAGGTCAGTTCCAAGGTCCATCCCTCACAATCTTGTTCCAAGGAGCCCAGCTCACATCAGGGGACATTTGCCACCTGCACACGCCTCCCCTCATGCACTTTTCCGGCCCCCGCCCTACTTGCTCCATCTCACCCCCTCTCTCACTCACTCCCCTGCAGGTCAATTCCAGGGTCCTTCTTTCACCATCCTTTTCCACGGAGCCCAGCTCACCTCAGAGGACATTTGCCATCTGCACACGCCTCCCCCCATCCGTCTCCGCGACGCCACGTGTCGCTACGGCACTGGTCTGCTGGGCGCATACCACCTCTCCGACCTCCCCCTCATAGTCTCAGGAAGCTTCCTCTACGCCTTCGACCCCTCGGGTCATCATCTTTTCTCTGGTTCGGCTGGTGGTGCTGCTGGTGCTGGTGGTAGTAGTGGTGGCTTGTCTGGTGCTCGTGGCTCATTAGGGTCACCTGGTGGATCGAGGAGGAGAGGAGGAGGGGGGAACGACATGGCTGCTCCTGTTGCTCGAGCCTTTTCCCTCAAAGGTACCACCGCTCCTGTTGCTTGAGCGTCTGATCAAGGTTCTCGGTCTTTGTCTGGTTCATTATCCTTTTGAGGCGCCTCAAAAGGTTCTCGGTCTTTGTCTGGTTCATTATCCTTTTGAGGCGCCTCAAAAGGTTCTCGGTCTTTGTCTGGTTCATCATCCTTTTGAGGCGCCTCAAAAGGTTCTCGGTCTTTGTCTGGTTCATTATCCTTTTGAGGCGCCTCCAAAGGTTCTCGGTCTTTGTCTGGTTCATTATCCTTTCTGTGTGCATCCCATCCCAGGTGGTCAGTGTTGCCCAGTTCCTATCGAATCAACATTTCTTCCGTTACCCACTTCTGTTGCCCCCCTCGCTCATCCAGGCTCAGGCTCCTCAAGCTTCATCAATCGATTCCCTGACCAGTTCCGGCCCCTCACCTTCGCCCCTTCCTCCTCCTCCTCCTCTCACTCTTCTCACTCCTCTCACTCCTCTCACTCTTCCCACTCCTCTCACACCTCCACCACCGCCACCTCTTTCTGGGACGAAAACACGGTACTGCGCTTGCCCCTTCGCACGCAGCAGCAGGCAGACTCTAGTCCAATCAGGAGAGGCCACGTGGCAGGGCCGTGGGATATTGTTCTGATGGCGCAGCTGCTGCAGCAGCACGGGGCGGCGTCGCTTGCCTTTTTAAACTCTGTGGAGACGGTGAGTGTGCTGTCATGCCATGTAGGCTTCAGAAAAAAATCAAAAACCTGTTTGGTTCGACCCAAACATGTGTTTCCACACCTCGTGACTCACACCTTCTTTTTGAAAGTTACCCCTGTCTTGAAATCTGTTTCTTTCTCCCAGCTTCCTCTTACTACAACTTCTCCTCTCCCCCTTCTTAATCCGTTCACCCTATCCCTTGCACGCCAGGTGTCGTTCTCTGTGTGGCCGGCTGACGCTGTCCAACCAGAAGAGTTTTTCCATGCCCAGGTCAGTCTCTCCCACCCAAACCGTGTTCTGAGTCGACTCAAAACACTACTTTTTCCATGCTCAGGTCAGTCCCTCCTCTTAGAACTTAGGCTTAGAAGCGATGCATTAGTAATGAGCTTGAAGCTCTTTAAATACATCCAAGAAGGGGAGGGAATGGATGGGGAAGGGAATCGGGGGCAATCCTAGGGATTAGGGGTAATCCCAAGGCAATCTCCAATTGGTGGGTTGGAGATTGCTTGGAGATTACATTTGGGTTTGGTTGGGATGGAGGTGTACACCCAACCAAACACAATGTGCAAACTACACTACTCTAGGATATAGAAAATACAAAGTACAAAGTGTGAGATTGAAGGCTAACACTAACACCTCCCACCCGAACCCGTGAATCATATTCGAGAATTCTTAAAAGTTGTTGTCTTCTCATGTTTTAATATGCGGGGACTGGTGCTGCTTGCTTGCACACACAGACACATCATCCCGAGCCTTTGTGTTCCTTTGCCCCTCCTCCCTCTCTCTTCAGGTCCGAGCAGGCATGGGGTCACTGAGAGCGCCCTTTCAGGACCGCAAGGTTTGCAAGCAAGGCTTCCTCTCCATCCTCTTCGCCCGAGGTGGGGGAATTAGCAGAGGCACCAGCAGCAGCAGCATTGAACACTCACTCTTTCCCTCCCTCCCCTCCCCTCCCCACGGGTCCGAGCGGGCATGGGCTCTCTCAGGGCGCCCTTTCAGGACCGCAAGGTGCGCAAGCAGGGATTCCTCTCCAGCTCCTGGAGGGAGGGAGCAATAGCGGCAGCAGCAGCAGCAGCATGCAGCAAAACTTGGCTGTTTTCCCTCTCCCTCCCCCTCCCCCTCCCCACAGGTCCGAGCAGGCATGGGGTCACTCAGAGCGCCCTTTCAGGACCGCAAGGTGCGGAAGCAAGGCTTCCTCTCCAGCCTCTTCGCCCCGGGAGGTGGGGGCAGCAGTGGCACCAGCAGCAGCAGCAGCGGCGGCAGCCTGAAAGCGTTCACTCTTGACGTTCTCACCAAGTCGCAGTCCCTTGCCCCACTGCTGCCGCTGCTGGGGGGTAGTGGTGGAGGGGAGGGAGGAGAGGGTGTGGAAGGAGATGAGGGGCTGGGGCGTGGGGAGGGTGGAAGGGAAGGAGAAGGGGAGCAGAGGCTGGAGAAAGGGAAAGGGACAGAGGACGTGGGAGGGGAGAAGGGGACACTGCAGAAGCAGCAGCAGGAAGAGGAAAGGAGGAGTGGAGAGAGGTTGGGGAAGGTTGCGGGCCACGCGGGAGGTGGTGGAAAGAAGGCTGGAGTCTCTGACGTGGCGATTGATCGTTGGCTTGTGGTGCAGACGTTTGGAGCTGGGAGTTCCCTGGATATGGCAAGAAGCAAGTGAGTTTGAAGCTAGTTCTCAGTTACTAAATCTGCCCCACACAAGGTACCTCTCCTTCAATCAACCTCTCTCCTGTGACCGGCGCCACCACCAGAATCCCCCACAATGGTCTTTGATTTTCCCAGGATATGCTCCGTCTACTGATGGTCTATCTATATTAAGTGCCTCGATTTTTTGTTTCCCCGCTTCCCCTCCCCTCTATCCCATCCCACAGGAGGTATCTCTCCTTCAACCTCTCACCAGTGGCCGGCGCCGCCACCCGAATCCTCCGGAACGGCGAGATCATCCCCTTCGCCACCATCCACCCCTTTGCCCCACAACCAGAAGCATTACCACCCCTCTCAACCGTCTCCTCTTCCTCCTCCAACCTCTCCGCCCTCCGCCCGCTCCTCCCGCCCTCGGTTGTTCTCGCGCCGCTGCCCGTGCCTCTCAACCTGCCCTTCCCAGTGGCTCTTTTCGGCCACTTCCTCCTCCTCCGCAACCCCGGATCCCCTCGCTCCCTCTTCCTCCCTTCCCCCTCTTCCTCTCCCGCGTCCTCCTCCCTCTCCTCCACTCCTTTGCCGCCGTCTGCTGACGTGGCACCGGACGCCACGTCAGCAGCTGCCACGTCACCGATGGACGCGCTGATGCAGGCGTGGAACGAGGAGCTGCTGACAGGTGTCCGCGAGGCGTACATCGGCCTCCTGCTGGAGATGCAGCGGATCAGAATCGGCGAATCACGGCTCGTATCGGGCATATCTGGCGTTTCAGGAGTGTCCGCAGCAATGTCGAGTAGTATGTCCCAGCAGTCTCAGGGGTTCAGAGGCAGCAACCGGCAGCATCAGCAGTATCACCATCAGCAGCAGCAGCAGCAGTTGAGGGGGGCGTTGTTTCCAGCAGACCAGTTCTACTCCCTCTTCCCTCGCTCCTCCGGTCCTGCTCGTGCTGCTCTTCCCGCTATCCCCACTGCTTCCTCGTCCCCGCATCCCACCTCTTCTCAGCCTGCTTTCCCTGAGAATGAGCCGAAAAGACAGCCAATAGCAGCAGCAGGCGCTGCTACAACAGGCGATGAGGTGGCGCTGCGTGATTGGATGGTGCGGCCGATGTACGTCCGGCTGGCAGAGCTGCCCGTGTGGCAGCTCCACAGTGGAGCAGCCGTGCAAGTCAGCCAAGGAATGTTCCTCGTCCCGCCCCCGGGATCTTCAACCACCCTGTCTATAAGCACCCCTTCGACCAGCACTCCTGCCAGCAGCAGCTCCGTTATAAGCACATTAAGCACATCTGCTAATAGTGGAGCGCCGCCAGAAGCGGTGTGTGAGTTTCTGCGGGCGCACTACCGCGTGTTCAGCGTGCCGTGGGACCTGGTGGGGGAGCTGCATGCGGCCGGCGTGGCCACTCAGGCGCTGACACCTGGCATGCTGCGGTCCCTGCTGCGCGGGCCGAATGCCACCACGAGCTCTGTCCCCGTGACGACACAGGTATGTTTTTTCTTCAGCCAGGTGATCACACAGGTATGTTTTCTCGTCCTGATGAAATGTCAAGAGCAGGTACTTTCTGTTGTGGTTCGGGTTTCCGTCCTGATGAGTGCGTTCTGATGAGTGCGTCCTGATGAGTGCGTTCTGAAGGAAAAAACGAATGGAGATTGAAGAGAAGTTATGGTATTTTGGAACGAAACCAAGTGAACTCTCTCCTTTTATTTATTCCCAGATAAGCCAATCTCTCTGTGATGCTGTGCGTACCTCATGGAATGCTGCTGTGATGATTTGCACTCTCGTACACAAAAGCTCCAACAAACCGGTGAAGATTTTGACACTACCCTTTCCCCCTCCTACACTGTAATCACCACCTCTTCCCTTGAACCCCTTTCCTTGTCCCCCCTTTCCTCTTCCCCTCTCCTCCCTTCCCCCTCCCGCTCTTTTCCCCTTGGTTTCCTTCGCCCAGGTCGATTTGCTGGAGTATTGCTGTGCCGACATTCAACTGCCCGACCCGGCCTCTTATCCCGTGCTGCCACCTGGCAGCTCATCATCTGCCAGCCAGGCTGGCAGCGCTGCCACGTCAGCCGCACCACGTGGCGCTGCAGGAGCGTTTAGCATGATTCCACTGCCCAGAGAGGTGCGGGCACTGCTGAGGGGCGGAGGAGGGGAAGGGGGAAGCAGAGGGGGAGGGGGAGGGGGGGGCGGGGGAAAGCAGAGGGTTAGGGGTGGGAGCAGCAGAAGCGTTGCTGCGGAGGCTGGAAGGGGCGAGGATGGGGGGGCTGGGCGGCGCAGCAGCAGCAAGGGGAGGGGGAGGAGGAGCAGGGGGCGGTGGCGGCAGTGGTGGAAGCAGTGGGTTTGGCTCGCGGGGTGGGTATGCTGGGTACGGTGGCGCTGCTGCTGTTGCTGCTGGTGGTGCTGGTAGTGGTACTAGCACAGCAGGGCATGGGCATGGGCATGGGCAGGGCTATGGGCATGGTGGGCAAGGGCAAGGGGATGGCATGCGCAGTGATGCAGATGCCCTGGCGGATCTTATGGCTCAGTTCGGCCGCTCCGTGTTCGATTTCGGGCAGAATGTTCTCGACGAGCTTGATGCTGCCCGGGCAGGTGCGACGGGCAGCGAACAAATAAACTCGGGAGAAGGAAGGGGAAGAGGGGGAGGAGGGAGAGGAGGAGGTGGGGGAGGAGGGGAGGGAGAGGAGAGGCCTGCACTGACAGAGGAGGAAAGGGAGAGACTTGCAGCAGAGGAAGCTTTCAGGAAGGCAGCAGAAACCAAGGTTGCAGAAATGAAGGGCGTTCCCATACCTACTGGTACGGTGTCCGACCCTGCGTTCCGAGCCTTCCAATCCGAGCCTCAGAGGCACGGTGGGGCCGGCGGGGGTCTGGCTAGGCTCGGGAAAGACCTCCTCATAGTCGCCACATGGGACCAGCAGCGGCTGTTGCCGAACCTAGCGCACAGGTTCGTTCACCGAACCTGCCTGGCTCGCCAGCTTCTGAAAGCCCTCTTCCTGCACCCGAGGTTCTGCGAGCTGCTGACGATGCAGCCATTCACGTTGCGCCACCTGGCAGACGGGCTGGCTACAGTGTTTTCTCGGCAGCAGAGGGCGGAGGCGGAAGGAGAGATGCTGATTGTGTGGGGCGAGGGAGAGGGGGCGGATGTGTGTGGGGAGGAGGAGGGAGAGCAGGGAGAGAACCAACAGCAGCAGCAGCCACAGCAGCAGCAGCAGCAGCAGCAGCAGGAAGCAAATCGTCCAGTCACTGCCACCACAGCCATTGCAAGCAGCAGCAGTCTGCAGCAGAGCACCTCTAGGGACTCGCCCTTGGGCCCTCTCTCTCCTGCCTGGCTCAGGGCCTTCTGGGCTCTGCTGAAACGCTCCTCCCTTTCTACGGCAACTGCTACCCAGGCACTTGGCAGCAGCATAGGGCAGCAGGAGTGGGTGGAGATCTTTGAATCATGGCCGTTGATTCCCGCCGTGACACGTGGCGGCAGTGTACTAGTCAAGGTTGCTTTCCGGGCAGCTGTTTTCGTCCCTCCAGATGCAGGTGCGGCTCCTGCCGAGCCTCCTGCTCAGCCTCCTGCCGAGCCTCCTGCTGAGCCTCCTGCCGTGCCACCTGCCGAGCCTGCAGTGCCTGTGTCAGGATTAGGAACTAGTGGGGAAGGTAGTTCAGGGGGAGGTGGCATTCAGGGCTGGGAATCTGCTGCAGTGGCAGCTGTAGGGTGGGCTGATTTTGGAGATTCAGCTACTGCTGGCACCTCTGCTGCCTCTGATGTATCTTCTCCTGTTGAGAGCTCTGAAGCTGGAGCAGCCAATGACAGGCTGCCACGTGGCACCACAGCAGAGTCTGAAACCAGAGGGACCACTACTCAGTACTCGCAGAAGCACCTGAGCTCTGAGGTTCGGCGGCTGCTGTGGAGATTCGGAGCGCTGGACCGGGACCACCCGTGGCTGCTCCCGGTCCTGCGGGACAGGCTCGGCATCCCGATCTTCGACCGGAGGTTCGTCGCTTGCTCCGAAGCACTCCGGTGCTGCGAGGAGGCTCGGATAGGAGGCTCGGACAACACCCATCACACCCAGCAGCAGCAGCAGCCGCAGCTGTCTCTGCAGCAGCTGGTGCTGGCTCGGCTGCTAGCAGTTAAATCATTTGATCAACTTCCTCCCCCTGCTGCTCTCGCTCTAGCTCTCTCTCCTCAGGACTGTGACCACTTAGTCTCGTTCTTCGCCTCTCACGTCCGCTCGCCCTCCTCCTTTCTCCAGTCCCTCGCCAGCACCATCTCCTCTTCTTCCTCCTCTCCCTCGCCCTACACCCCTCAAGAGCTCGCGCTTATCCGCTTGCTCCCAATCTTCAAAACCACCCTCGGGAATTTCACAGCCATTGACCCTGACTTGCACTGCGTCGCGCCACCTGTCGCATTCTACCAACCAAAAGATGCCACGTGTCTGCAGGACAGGGATTCTCCCGGGGAGAAAGCCCTGCTGAGCTGTCTCGGCGTGAGGGTCATCGACGAGGCGGATGTTCTCGCGAAATTTGCGCTGCCCGGATTTGACGGGCAGGGCGAGGAGGAGAGGGAGAGGGTGCTGCAATACGTGGTGCAGCATTGGCAGCAGCTGAAGCAGAAGCCAGCCGTTGTGGACGCGCTGAAAGAGACAAAGTTTGTGATACCAGCGCCGCCCGCCGCCGATGCTGCCTCTCTCTTCCCTCCTCCTGATTCCTTCCCTGCAATCGCTCTCTCTGTTGCCGCTGCCACCTCAGCACCTCTCACCACCTCCTCCTCCCCCCACCCTTCCCACCCTCTCGACTCTTTCCCCTCCGCTTCAATTTCTTCTGCCCGAGTTCGCCCGTGTGATCTCCTCGACCCAGCCAACGACCTCCTCCGGCAAGTTTTCGTGCACTGCCCAGAAAGGTTCCCGGGCGGGCAGTTTGAAACTTCGCGGTGGCTGCCCGTGCTGCGGGACTGTGGCCTCCAATCCGCCTTCACTCCTGACCTCTTCCTCCAATGCGCTTCCGCCGTGGAAGCGCGGTACGTCTCCTTCCTGGAATCTTCCTCTGCTGCTGCAGCAGCAGCTGCTGCAAACACTGCTGGTGGCGCAGCCGGTGTTGCTGCTGCTGGTGGCAACTCTGCATCGGATTCGTTTCTGCTGTTTGGGGGAGAGGACCCCTCTCAGGAGAGCGACACAGGGGACTTTGAGAATGTGGATTTGTTTTCGGGAGGCCGCACCACCGGTGGCAGCAGCAGCAGTGGTGGCCTGTCGATTGCTGCTGGAGCAGCAACAGGAGGAGGGGGGGTGGTGGGAGGGGGCCCAGTGGTGGGGGTGGAGGAGGAGCTGTGGGTGGTGGCAGGGCGGCTGACAGAGGCGCTGCTTGCAAATGTGGCGGTGGTGTTTGGCAGCAGTGCCATGGAGTCACTGGGGCAGATCAGGTGAGTCACCGTTGTTTCTGGATTCCAGCCTCCTCAGCGAGTGTCACTTTACATGGTTTCCGCGCCTCCCCTAGTGGTGGTGGGGGTGGAGGTCCTGTGGGTGGTGGTGGGGGTGGAGGTCCTGTGGGTGGTGGTGGGGGTGGAGGTCCTGTGGGTGGTGGTGGGGGTGGAGGTCCTGTGGGTGGTGGTGGGGGTGGAGGTCCTGTGGGTGGTGGTGGGGGTGGAGGTCCTGTGGGTGGTGGTGGGGGTGGAGGTCCTGTGGGTGGTGGTGGGGGTGGAGGTCCTGTGGGTGGTGGTGGGGCCGCTGACAAAACCGCTGCTTGCCATTGTGGCCGTGGTGTTTGGGAGCAGCGCTATGGAGTCGCTGGGGCAGATCAGGCGCGTTGGCGTTGGTGAGGGAGGTGGGCTGTTGGTGGAATAGGATGTATGTCCGAGGTTGAGGGTTTATGGTTCGGGGTTTGGGGTTTAGCTGACAGATGTGCTGCTGTGAATGTGGCTCAAGTGTTTGGGAGCAGTGCTATGGATTCGCTGGGGCAGATCAGATCAGGTGTGGTTTTATACAGGTGTGTTTGATACAGGAAGCGTGCCAAAGGTTGAGGGTCCATGGTTCAGGGTTTAACCTGACAGAGGCGCTTCTGGTGCATGTGGCGGCGGTGTTCGGCAGCAGTAACATGCAACTCCTTTCTTTATAGGCGCCTCAGAAGCGGTCTAGCCCCCCCCTCCTCCCATGTCCCTCCCCCAGGTTCATTCCAGCAGAGTGGGATATGCCAGCAAGCTGGGCGGCAGTGGACAGGCATAGTCTCACCAGCTTCTTTCTGTGCTACCCTCTCCTTCCCACACTTGCACTCCCATTACCCCACTTTCCTCTCCTTTCCTCCCCCCCTCTCCCTTCCGCCACCCCCCATCTCAGGTTCATCCCAGCAGAGCGAGGAATACCTACAGGCGGGGCAGCGGTGGACCGGCGATTTAGGGTTTAGGGTCTATGCTGCCTGCCTGTGTGGCGCCTCTCCTGGTCCTCGCTTCCTCCCTCCCATGGCCCCATGCATGCACCCACCACCCCTCTCTCTGACCTTCCTCCACGTTCATCCCAGCAGAGCGGGGAATACCGACAGGGGGGGCAGCAGGGGATAGGCATAGCCTTACCAGGTACTCTTGCTGTGATTGCTACCCTCTCCGTCCCGCACTCGCACTCCCATTACCCCACTTGCCCCACTTCTCCCCCTTCCCGACTTTCTCCTCCCCCCTGCTCTCTCCCACCTCAGGTTCATCCCAGCAGAGCGCGGAATACCGACAGGCGGGGCAGCGGTGGACCGGCGGTGCCTCGCCAGCTATGCTGCCTGCTGTTTGCGGAATGCCGAAAGAGCTCCCTCCTCTTGCCGCACTTCAACCCCTCTTCCCCACCCACCACCAGGTTCATTCCAGCAGAGCGGGGAATACCAACAGGCGGGGCAGCGGTGGATAGGTGGTGCCTCGCCAGCTATGCTGCCTGCGTGGCGCCGTCTGATTGGCCGCTCGCGTGGACGGCGGTGCCTGTGCTGGTGAGGGAGGCGTTTGTGCCGCCGCAGTTCACGTGGCTGAAGCTCAGCCTCAAGTCCCCGCCGCCTCTCTCCCTCGTTCTCACTCACCTCAAGGTACGCTCTCCCACACCCATGTACGGTAGTCTCATCTCATGTCATGTGCACTCGCTCGCATGTACTAGCAGCGCCTTTTTTGGGCCTTGGTCCTGCTGCAGTTCACGTGGTTCAAGTCACGCACTTATTCCGAAAACACTCATGCGTGCGTCGTCGCATTGTCCCGTCGTCCCATTCATGTAGTCCTCTTCACCCTAGTCCCTCTACCCACCCGTTCTCGCTTTTTTCTCCCTTACAACATTCCTCTTCTTGCCCTTCTCTTCGTCCCATCCCTACACACACAGGTCTTGGGTCGAGGGGGGGGAGAGGAGACCCTCGCCCGTTGGCCAAACATCGTAGGAGGCAAGTCAGTGGAAGAAGCGTTTGAGCAGATTTTCAAGTTCCTCGCCTCCCATTGGTCCTCCCTCGACCCGCCCGACATCCGCTCCTTAAAGCCCGTCTCGCTTGTCCCCGTCGCCAACGGCACCCGCCTCGTCCCAGCCTCGGCGCTCTTTGCCAGGCTCGGCCCGGACCTCGCGCCGTACCTGTTCGAGCTGCCTCGGCGGTTCCTGCCATTCTCCCAGCTGCTGGTGGACCTTGGGATGCACGACTCCCCCTCGCCCTCTGCCCTCTCCTCCTTCCTCTCTGCCTTGCACCGCTCTTCCGGAGGGCAGAGGCTCAACCCGAACGAGCTACGAGCTGTGCTCAGAATCTTGAGACTCGTGTGTGAGGGAGAGGAGGAGAATGGGGGAGGTGGAGGAAGAGGAGGAGCAGCAGGAACGCTGCCTTGTCGCTCTGCAGCGCTCTCTCCTCTCCTGGCTCACGCCGTGGTTCCGGACGATTCGTGCCGGCTCGTCCCGGCCCATTCCTGTGTGGTGGTAGACCCAGCTGCCGTTTTCCTAGCCAATGAAATCGACCCACGCTGCCTTCGTCTCGTGCACCCGCTCCTGCCGCCGAGCCACGCGGCCAGGCTCGGCATCCCGAGCCTGTCGCAGGTGGTCGAGCAGGAGCTGGATCCGAACCTGCTGATGCAGCAGGTTGGCTCGGTCGGGGGTGTTTCTCTTAGGAATGTTGCAGAGAGGATCAGCAGCAGAGAGTTTGCTGCTGCTGCTTGGTCTATCTTGCACCAATTTGCAGCAGCAGCGGCAGCATCAACTCCCTCCTCTCTCTTCTCATCGTCCTCCTCTACCACTCTCAGTTCATCACCCCACTCCTCTTCCTCCTCATCCTCCACCTCCTCCTCCTCTCCCTTCTCTTTTCGAACAAGGGATGTTACCCCTCCCTCCTCCCGCGCCCCTCCATCCTTCTCCCCCATCCAATCACGTGACGACGTGTGGCGAGCGCTCACGCGAGCAGCGCAGGGCCTGCGATTTGTATCGGGCCTCCACACGCGATTCGTGATCCTGCCGTCCCGTAAGGTGGTGCCACGCAGGACGACATGTCAGCACCACCATCAGAATCAGCATCCTCGTCCCAGCAGCAGTACCGTAAGTAGTAACTCACCTTTAGGAGGCTCGCATAGTGGTTTGAGGGACCCAGATATAGGGTCGGTGGGGAGTGCAGTAGCAGCAGCAGTGGCAGCAGCAGCAGCTGCTGAAGCGAGAAAAACAGACAAAGCCAGTGGCAGCAGAGAAGCAGGAGGAGGAGAAGGATCAACCACAGCACCAACAGCAACCACAGCAGCAGCAGGAGGGGTAATTCCAGGGGAACTTTTCTTTGTGGATGGGCGGCAAGGTCTTGTCTTTATCTCAGCAGCATCTGCTACAGTAGCGTCTCTCCCGCACGTACTATCTGCCGCCCTCAGCCAATTCCTGGGCTCTCCCGTATGCTTGCCTCTTGCCGCCCTGCTTGACTGCCCACCGAGCCTCCAACCGGGCCTCCGCCGAGCCTTGGCGCTCGGTTCTCCAGCAGCCCTGGTTTCTGCCACCTCTGGCAGCTCTAGATCAGGTTCGGAAGCCGAAGGCGAAGAGGAGGGGCGTTTGGGTGCAGAACTAGCAACCTCAGGCTCGGAAGGGCAGGCTCGGATGCCAAGCCTGTGGCAGCAGCGGGTGGCGGCGGAAAGGGGAGGCATGCCTGGGGAGGTTGTAGCAGCTGCTGACGTGGCACTGCTACAGTGCCACCCACTGAGGCCGTTCCACGCAGGGGAGGTTGTAGCGTGGAGAGAGGAGCGAGGGGGAGGAGGCGGGGGGTTGCTAGCAGGCAAATGGTTTGGGCAGGGGCAGGGGGCAGGAGGAGGAGGGGGAAGCAGTAGAGCAGCAGGGAGCACACTCGATCCTGCCTCATCCTCGCCCGCAGCACCCGCATCCACGCTGCGCTATGGCCGCGTGGTGGCGGATGTGAGGGCGACAGCAGGCCAGGCGCTGTGCCGCGTGCAGGTGGAGACCTTCCCCAACGAGATGCGCCTGCTGCTCTCCTCCTCCATCCTCTCCTTCAAATCCTCCACCTCCTCCTCTGCCTCTGCTGCAGCTGCTGCAGCAACGGCAGGGGCAGCAGGGGAAGATGCAGCTCCCCCTGCCGCTGTTGCTGCCTCTCCAGGCTCGTTGGCTCTTCCTCCCACTTCTCTTGGTGAAGCTGCCAGCTCAGCAGCGACGTCGCCGCCAGCTGGCGCCATGTCAGCGCCGTCGGTGGTCCCGCCTGGCGAGGTGGTGCGGGCTGTGAACGACATGCTGGCGGCGGCAGGGATCCCGCTGGGCGGCGGGCAGCAGCGGCTGCTGACTCAGCTGCTGACGATGCAGGAACAGGTGGCGGCGGTGGAGGCCACGCTGGCACATGAACAGGTGCGTGATCCTGAGTGGCTGCTTTGTTGGTCTTGTTCACAGCCTTCATTGATGTTCTGTATGGTAATTATTACTCTGTAGAATATCCTTTTTTTTCAACCTGTTCTGTTATTCACTTTCCTCTCTCACAGTTTTGTTCCCAGTTGCTTTATTTCGAACTTTTGGATCCTTGCTTTCTCCTCCCTTTGCACCGCTTCGATGTGACGGAATCTACTCCCTCGCACTCCAGGCACGGGCCGAGCAGGCGGAGAAGGAAGCGGAGTCGGCCAAGGCGGCCTGGACGTGCCGCATCTGCCTCGCTGCTGACGTCAGCGCGGTGCTGGTGCCATGCGGGCACGTGCTGTGCGCCAGCTGTATTGCCAGCGTGCACCGCTGCCCCTTCTGCCGCTCCCACGTGGTGCAGACAGTGCGCCTCTTCAGACCATAGGATTCAAATAGTGCGTTCATGTAGACCATAGGATCTAATCTGTGCCTGCCCAGGCCGTTGTCAAACCGTATTATACATATCGTAGCAGAGTCAAGTGTTTTACGTATTTTTACGCAAGGCTACGGTATTATTCATTTACCCAGTGTAACATTTGAGCTTCGCGTTTACGACTCCTGCTAATTTATGGAGTAGGCATCACAATTGACTGACCTGCTGGTGTATAATGGAGATGTGCCCTTGTGTCGATGCACCCTCACCCTCACACCGTTCAGTCAGTACAGATGACAGCCCATGTACAGCAAGCGTATCAGCGCCTTGTAGCAGGATAGAATTCTGCTTTGCAGAGCTCTGGCACTGGCCCGTGCATATGAACATCTCTGTTAAATTCACAGCCCATGGAACAGACATGTATTTCAGAGAATGATACGGTACAAGCCTTTGCCACAATCCAACATCAAACAACCACCCGAACTTCCTTGACTTCTGGCCTGTACCAACCATCCAACTTCCATCCTCACCTCTCAACTCCTCCACGAAATCCACCACACCATGGCCACTGCTCATCTCCTGCCGCCCTTCTTGGCCGGCGCCTTGGACTTCTTAACAATAACGATTTCGCCCTTATCGAGGACGGGGATCTTGGACATGGTGCCGAGGGCGCCGTACCGCTGGTTGAACTTGTCCACTCGTCCCGCCTCCGTCAGCAGCGTGTTCTTGCTGCCCTGGAACAGCGGGTGGTTGCCTGCAGGCAGAGAGGAGGGGATTGAGAGGTGGGGGGGAGGGGGAAGAGGGGTCAAGAGGCGGGAAGGGGATTTCAGTATACAGGGACAGGTCAAGTGTAGATTCGCCCTGCCTCTGTCAGCAGCGTGCTCTTGCTGCCCTGGAACAGCGGGTGGTTGCCTGCAGGCAGAGAGGAGGGGATTGAGAGGTGGGGGGGAGGGGGAAGAGGGGTCAAGAGGCAGGAAGGGGATTTCAGTATACAGGGACAGGTCAAGTGTAGATTCGCCCTGCCTCTGTCAGCAGCGTGCTCTTGCTGCCCTGGAACAGCGGGTGGTTGCCTGCAGGCAGAGAGGAGGGGATTGAGAGGTGGGGGGGAGGGGGAAGAGGGGTCAAGAGGCGGGAAGGGGATTTCAGTATACAGGGACAGGTCAAGTGTAGATTCGCCCTGCCTCTGTCAGCAGCGTGCTCTTGCTGCCCTGGAACAGCGGGTGGTTTCTCAGAGGGAAGGAGGGAGGGATGGGCATGACGGGGAGATGAGAGAAACTTGGTACACAGGCACATGAGTAATCAATAACCGAGTGTCCACTCGCCCTGCCTCCGCCAGCAGCGTGCTTTGCTGCTCAGAGCCAGCGGGTAGTTGCCTGCAGGAGAAAAGAAAGCAGCGGAAAGGGAGCACAAAGGGCTTGTCAGGACTCCATTCGCCCTCTAGTTCAGATTGCCTGTGTCAGGATCGTGTGTTCTTACTGCCCCAAAATGCGGGAACAGAGGGGCGTTAGAGATGTCCAAGAACCCATTAGCGCGCGCGGGGGGGGGGGGGGGGGGGGGGGGGGAAGAGGGGGGGGAGGGAGGGGAAGGGGGGGGGGATCAAAGAGTGAGCTTGTCTGTGGGCCTGTCTCATGGCTTGCGGGTTGCTGTCATGGAACAAGGAGCAGTAGTCTGATGCGCAGGAGTGCTGGGGAGAGTGAAGAATGCCAGGCTAAGTAGAAGCGAGCTATCAATGCAATTCCCCCTCGAGAGACGCGCGATTACATAAGTCCAGACAATTGATGCACCGCTTTCCCGCTTCTTTGGGAACATTGCTTCCATATTCTATACAACCGGACAGCGCGTCGAACGTCTCTCGGCTCTTCAACCGGACGCACTGCATGAAACACTGATTCGAGGACGCGTAATAGCTGCATCCCGCGACTACCACTTGTTGCATTACAATAACTACCACGCGTAATAACTCCATCCTTATCGTCGCCATTTGATGCTCGACCGTAACTGAGCTTCCTAAGTCGTGAAACCCGGAGTCTTCTCATCAGCTCTCACGATCAACATTTCAAATGCCAGCACACGGAAGCTACTCTAGAAGCAAACCGAGCCTGACAGAACGTCAGTCTAGGCGACTAAACGTCATAAGATGTGACGACCCGTCTGCCTAGACCGAACGGCAGCGTATCGACGACCCGTCAGCCTAACCTGTGCATTCAAAGACGGCGCTAACTGACGACGTATTCCTGTACGTGCCCAACTCGACATTGCAAAACACTTTATACTCATTGTAAGACTTCGGGTGAATGCCCTTGCACGACAGCCCTACCTGACCAGACGTCGACGACGTATTTCTCCTGCGTGCCCATGGTGGTCATCACCTCCTCGCCATTGCAGAACACTTTATCCTCGTTATATAAATGAATGCTGTCCGAGAACCCTACCTGACCAGACGTCGACGACGTATTTCTCCTGCGTGCCCATGGTGGTCATCACCTCCTCGCCATTGCAGAACACTTTCGACTCCTTATAGAACTTGGGGTGGATGCCCTCCTTCTTGCACACCACGCGCGCCTCGCCGCGTCGCGCCTGAGAGATGGAAATTCGCGAAATGAGAATAATGAGATACACTAGAGCATCATTTACGGGTCCATCGTAAGTGAAGATCGGAGAAAAGTGTCTCCTTCTTGCACACCATGCGCGCCTCGCCGCGTTGCGCCTGAAAAGGTGTAAAGAGTCATGAAATAACACGAGAGCACAAAATTGGCTCCTATTCAGCTCTAACTGGAAAATGGAGTCAATTCTCTTTCTTGCACTCCCCGCGTGACTCGCCGCGTTACGCGTGCTTATCCCAGGGTGACTCGAGGCGGAAATAAGAGGGGCCGCTGAAAGCCTGACCGAGTGAGAGATGCGTCGACTAAAAGGGTACCTCGCCGCACTGTCCGGATATACGAATGCACATAAACGCAATACGGATAATAGCTAATCTGGCTAAATACAGTCAAACATAGCCTTTTGCATCCATACCGTCGCTGGCAACCATATACCACTGTCTTGGCTTATACTGGAAGCTAAAAAAGCGCTAACCTGAAGGTTTTGACGGCCAGCAAAAGCAGCGGAAGACACGGCGCCGAGGACGGACGCGTCGCAGCGGAGGGTGGCCATGGCTGAAGACTAAGCGGCTTCAAACAGGCAGCGATATCACGACCTAGCAACCTTGAAGTCCGAAGCCCGAAACCTCGAGTTAGGAGGCCAAACGAGGTGCTATGGATGTATCCTGTGAAACTTGGGCTCAGATGGAATTACGGGTGGAAAACGTGCTTTGGTGGAAATTAGGGTTTCGAGTATGAAAAAGAGCAAGTTGTTGCGAGAGAGGGACGCTGGAAGGCAGTTACTTACGTAAGTCTCGGTAAGTCCTGTTAAGTGATACTTACGCAAGAGTAGGGGCGGGGTGGTGCGGGGCTGGCGGTTGGAATGGCGGAGGTTGGGTGGAGGATGCAGCTGCGGGAACCGAGCAGTGGGGGGGCCCGTAGCGGAAGCGGGGCGCTCTGGTTGGGGGAAGTTCGACGGCTTGGATGCAAGGTTGCGACTTCAACATATGGCTGACGTACGACGACGTGGCGCCATCGCCACGTCATCCCAGTACCAACTTCCAAATTTTCTTCTCGAGATAGGATGACAGCGTGGTATGAAACAGTTGTTTCATCTCTCCCTAATATCAAAATATCAAAAGCTTTATACACGAAGAACAATGGAAGAAACAACAAACTAGTCACAATAACTTAGTTGCAAACATCACATCGGCAGCTTCACAATAGTAAGCAGCCTGTTGGTTCTGACACATGAATCGTAACCCTCTTGAATGTACATGTAAGCTTGGATTTTTTCGCACATTATAAGGCCTGCCTACCTCTCTTGAATGTGGCAAATGCTTAAAGCCCGAGTCTAGAATGGCAAGGGTTCAAGTTCAAGATTCTTGAACATGATTTCGCCAAAGAACATGGTAACCCGCCTTTTTGTGGTGTTCTCTCGCGATCCACTGTGAAGGGGTTTGAAGCGCATGAATGTGATTGGCCAAAAGCACCACAGCAAAACCACAGACGACCCTCGCCAGAACGAACAAAAATCGTGACTGCTGTTCATACTTCTGGAAACTTGAAACATGAAGCTACCGTTCTAGACTCGTATTATCTAGCTCCGTAGCCCGCAATATCGTCAGCAGCCGATAACTAGTACCCGCCTTTCCCAGGACAATGAGGAAAGTAGAACGAGAATGATGGACTAAGGAATGGGAGTGATACAAATATGCAACCCTAGAAATGTGTACCCCATATGGGCTACCCCACTATAGCCTACACAATATTATAATTTGACACACCCCCATAGGCAAAGTGGGGGAGAACAAGGGGTCACAAGACAAGTCAAGCAAAGCAGACAAAGCTCAGGGTGGATCACAACGTCACCACACAGTCCTAGCACAAGGTCAAGGCCACAAGGCCAGTTCGCATGTAGGAGTACACACATATAAATAAGGCTAAACAAGAAAGAGCAGGTATATATATATGTAAGAGTACAAGCAAGGTCAAGGGGTGAGCAAGTGAGGCAAGACAGGCACAAGACCCAGCTGAGTGCAGAAGCGCTGATGATCACAAGGCGGAAGTGCCTTGGTGAAAACATCAGCAGTGTTGGCCTCAGAGGCCACGTACGCAAGTCGCAACTGACCACGCTGCTGCAACTCACGAGCAAGAAAGTAGCGGAGAGCAATGTGCTTCGTTCTGTGCTCCAGGCGCTGCTCCCGACACAAGGCCAGCATGGCCTTGTTGTCTACGTACAGCACTGGAGGAGAACGAGGCGGCTCTCCGAGGTCAGTCAGCAGGTAGGTGAGCCAGCGAAGCTCCTGTGCAGCCATGGCCCCGGCGTAGATCTCAGCCTCACAACTGGAGCTGAGAACAGAAGACGAGCGAGTAGCCCGCCACGAAATAGAGCCGGAACCAAGACTGAAGGTGTAACCCTGTGACGACCGCTGCGTAGCCTGGTCGTCAGCCCAAGAAGCGTCCGCGTGCCCAGTGAGGACCACTGGACTCCGCCCTCAAAGCACTAGCCCCATGTCCGACGTACTGCACAAGTAGCGCAACACCCTCTTCGCTGCAGCCATGTGCTCTGGTCTGTGTCTCCCATGAGCAACATAGCGTGCAAGAATGCTAAGAGGGTATGCAAGGTCAGGTCGCGTGCAGGTCATCAGGTACATGAGGCAGCCAACAAGCTCTGGGTACGGGCCACTCGGCTCTACGGACTCATCCGAAGGCAGAGCTGAGAGCGAGTGGCGAGTAGACAGAGGAGTGGCCTGAGGCGAGGAGTACGTGAAGCCGAAGCGCTGAAGGACCTGCTACACCATGTGTGACTGAGTCAAGGTAATGGTGCGGCGTGCTCTGTCCCGGGTAATCTGCAAGCCAAGGTAGCTGCGCAGTTCACCCAGGTCTGTGCACGTGTGTCTCTTCTGCAGCTCGGACTTCACGTGGGCGAGTCCAGTAGTATCAGCTGTGGCAAAGACCAAGTCGTCGACGTACACGAGGATGTAGAACGGCAGCAGAGAGGTGTCCGGTGCGCAGAAACAACGACGGGTCAGCAGTAGAGGGAGCAAACCCAAGAGCCGCAAGCGTAGTCCTCAGTGTGTCGTGCCACTCGCGCGGTGCCTGGCGGAGACCGTAGACTGGCCGTCGGAGGCTCCACTGGGTGCTAGGAGGGAAAGTCCCAGTGAAACCAGGTGGACGGCGCAGCCAGATCTCCTCGTGCAGGCTACCCTGCAGGAAAGCAGTGCTGAAGTCAAGGGAGTGAAGCTCGTAGTCACGCTGAGCGGCTATGTGTAGCAGCACCCAAAGAGTGGTCATCTTCGGGGTGGGAGAGAAGGTCTGAAAGTAGTCAACTCCCTGTTGCTGACTGAAGCCACGAGCCACGTACCGCGCCTTGAAGACAGGTGGAGAGCCTGGCGGCCGCTTCACCCTTAAGATCCACATGCCACTGACGATGTTCGCCCCAGGAGGAGGAACCGCGTCAACGTAGGTGCCTGTGGACTTCCAGGAAGCCATCTCTGCATCCATAGTTGCCTGCCACTGAGAGGAGTAGGGACCCTCTACGGCCTCCGCGTAAGAGCGCGGAGTCGGGATGTCTAGTGCATCCGGGTCTCCCTCAGGGGTAAGCAGTACGGACGCGAGATGAGGTGAAGCAGCAGCCACACACTGGAACTCCTCCTGCCTGTCCTCAAGGACGTCTGTGCCAAGAGCACACTCACCCTCGACGGACGGAGG